CTTGGTTTCTTCTTGGAAGTCTTTGCTTGGGCACAAGTTTGCTTATATTTTGTGATGGTTCTGCTCTTAGGCCATTCGGAAGATGGGCGAGGGCAATGGGAACGGGAAGGCTCCAGTGCTGGGTTGTGGAATGAGTGTGTTCCAGAAAAAACTACTTGTGGCGCAAAGGCAGGTTGCTTGTGTATGATCCAGCCTTTTATCATCTCTGTTTTTCAGAATCTTGGATCCGGATGTTTTTTCAGGTCTCCGGCGTTTTTTCGGAATCCGGCGGAAAATTTTGCCGGATTGAGGTCCGGCACTTTTTTCCGCCCAAAGGAGGATCCAGGTATAATAGCATAGGATGGCATATATATATATAGGTATCTACCTGGACCCCTGGACCCCTCAAATACGAGTACCAATCGAGGGCCCAGGTTTCCCCAGAAGCAGGCACGACCTCATCCCATCGAACCGTCGTGGTGTGGAACCGGGTGTGTCCAGGGCGGTCCTGAGGTCCAAGGCCCTGAGTGATGCCTTCAACTCGGAGGCCAAAGATCTAGGCTCGGCTAGCACAGACAGGGCTCGGTTGGAGGGTTGGTTCGGTCGGGTGAGAGGAAGAGAAACTGGTTGATTCAATGATTGATGAACTGGCCTGCGCGGCCTGCCCTACACTACTTGTGCCTACTCTTCTTGGGTCTAATGATGCAGCGCTGTGCTGAAAGTTGGACACTTGAGCCATTTTTCAAAACATGTCGAAACTTTCAACATATTATGCAGATTTTGTGCCTGTTCCGAAGCTAGAAAATCCCTCCAAACCATGCAGCTGGTTGTGCTGGTGAGCACTATCTCACAATCATACCAGCTGATCAGCTCACCTCAGTGGCTTGTGCCACAGATACCCAAAGGAAGTGGCAAACACCTGCACCACCTCACCATCAAGTTGATGTTTGCCTCAGCTTTTCTTCGCTTCGCGAAGGGCCGCGATTCTTCCACCTGGCCAGGCTGGGGCGGGCTCCTCCCGTGGCGCTTCCGCAAGGATTGGAAGAAGTCTTTCGATGCGCTCCGAGGCGCGCCTCTGTGCGCTTACTGGTCCGGTTGAAATCGCCTTCGACCGGTAGGGGCAGAAAAGTAGGGTGCAGGTTTGGAGGTGCAGACTGAAGATTTGTCGGTGTACCGTTGATTGATAGCGTTCCCCCAAAAGGCCCTATAGTCTAGTGTTCAGAAACGTCTTACATCTCCAGGTCTGGTGGTTATTCATCAGCAGTTTGATCGGGTTCATGTTTGAAATCCCCAACACTTCATCCATAGGGGCTGGCTGACAGCCAGGTGATGTTCTTCTTGTAGACCTTACAGTAGAGTTTGGATTCTTTAGGAACGATCTCAAACAAATTTGCATAGAACAGATCCTGGAGCTGGAAAACGGCCTACCTTCCAGAGACAAGTTGACCTTTGTTCCAGGGGCTGCATCAACATGCAGGGTGGAACTCCAAAGGCTGGCGCTAAGTAGGACCATGGGTTTATGAGAGGCCTACCTTCCCTTGCCACGACTCGTGATGCCCGAACAACTTCGACCGGCGCATGGCGCGATGTTTCGCATGTTTGTCCTGCGACCTTCCGGAACAGTCTGATACACTCCCCCCCCCCCCCCCCCCCCCCCCCCCCCCCCGGAAGCGCTTCCTGGTGTCGTGGACGGGGGTCTGACCCCCCCCGCTGGGTGATCCGGAGTCTTCGGAAGACGAAGATGTCGAAGATGTCTTTGGGTCTTCAGGGCCCATGATGAGTCCGAGTCTTTCTTGAGGTCTTTTTGCTGGTCTTTGGAGGTTCTACCGTTATATGGTTTAACCGTTCCGTTGGATCAGCTGCACCCATCTGACTTTGAGGGAGAATCCCCGAGCTCTTCCAGAGTTCGTTCGGTTCACCGAACTCTTTTTCGACGCAAAACTCACTCGGAAAGGGTGATTCAGTCCGAATGCAACCGAAGGAATTCCCCCTTTGGTCAGGTAAACCGTGAACACCCCATAAAAACACCACACCTCGTTGGTCTCAAGGAGTCTCAATGAACCTACACAAAGCATACGGAACTACTGGAAGAACCGAAGCATGTCTCGTGCATTTGTTTTACGGTGCGGCTTTCCGCGCAGTGCCTATAGCCCTCCAGGCGGTGGTGGAGGGCTGTTTGTGGCGCCGATTTTGTCGGAGCTGATTCTGAACAGAGACTTTGTGGTGCATTTATCGTGGAGCATGTCAAGGACGCTACTAGTAGCTCCTGGCCTTACTACTAGTAACAAGAAGCTACGAACGGAACAAAGGGCATCGCTACGAACGCAGCGATAAGACGCCGTCGAGGTTTGTGCTGTGTGTCGTCCCATGCGGCGAGTTTTGTTCAGAAGACTGGGACACAGGAGAGTATTTTGAGACGTCCAAAAGCTGTAGCAAACATCGTGGTGTCAGATAGTTTATATAACTTATATAACCGTTACTTGGAATGGAAAGGTTCACCCACTGGTCCTAATGGTTTTCGTTGTGAGGTCAAGCCACGAACCAGTAAGGTATCAGGGTTTTCAGAGTTGGGGATGAGCATTTGCCCTTCAGAGGAACCCCATCGACCCAAGGACAACCACCCAATGTAGGTATAGTGGCACGGTTTCCAATACAGTTTTAGTGGAATTTTCTTTTCTGTCTATTTGGGGGTCTGTATAATGTAAATATTTATGCCATACAGTGAGTGTCTGGGAAATGATTCTCTAATCACAAATCCTGACATCCCTGAGCGATCTCCTTATGCAGTACTTTTCGGGACACGGGAAGGGTAGCAGATCTCCGAGGAAGCTCGGTACGCATTGTGGAAAGGCGTGGAAGGTACACATTTTTGTGTGTTTGGATTTGGATCGACCAGTTCGTATATATACCTATATATTAGTGCGATGTCTGACCCTATCAAAGCATGTAGACTTTGTACCCATTTTTTGAAGGACTTTGAGACTCCAGGTAGATAAGATAAGATGGCCGGCCTGACTGGGGAGATTCCAGAAGTTGTAGTGGAGAACGAGTTTGGGCGGGCTGCTGCATGGCAGCCACACAGCTAGTGATCTTCCAGAAGCCACTCGTGGGGTGCCCTGTGGCCATAACTCTGGGAGTGTGAAGGTACTTAGTGTAGAAGGATGAGTTGCAGGCTCAGACAAGTGATGGATATCAGACAAACACCAATATAGTTTACTATAAGTGTGATTTTCTACAGTGTTCGAGATGGCACGCCATCGCTCATTTGCACACATCAGCGGAGCTTTCTGTCGATGTGGATCTGATCGGACACAGAAAGCCGCGTTTGGTTCTCTTCAAATCCTTTTGGGGGATCAGGACAACGTCCAAAGCGAGTAACGTCCAAAGTTATACACTTAATGACTTTCTGCTATTATTTTGGCCAATGCGAGAAGCCTTGGTGTCCAAGCTCGAGAATCAGTCAAAACTCGAGTTTCCATGGCATAGATACCAAGAGAGGTGTTTCACAGCCCTATCCTATCGCACATCCTACAGCCATCGCACATATAGGTCTCCAGTAGTCTAAAAAAGCAAACAAACAAACAAACAAACTCTGTGTGGCGTACAAAAATTCACTTGGGGGATGTGGTCTTCAGGTTCGAATGTCGATAGCTCCAGGTTGCCGTCACGTCACGCTGATCCTCCGATCAAAGTCATGTGGTGGATGCTTTCGGATATGTTTGTTTTTAACCCAACCACATTGGGTGATTGGACCTTCTGACTCATCACGAAAGCTAGCATCAGCTAGCTGGAGTTGCTCTTGCTTTAGCAAGTCAAGGGCTCGCAGCCTCGAGAATCATGAATCACGTGAAAACTTCACGTGTAGGGGGGAGAAGGCCCCCCCCCCCGCGGGTTCAACTCCCCCCTGGGACGCTTCCGGTACGTGCTATAGTGCTATGTTTAGGTGGCAGGTGAAGTAGGCCACTGTTTGAGTTTGGAAGGGGGGGCATGAAACATGAAATTTACGCGAGGGTTCAAGGCTTCAATGATGAGCATCACGGGAAGTCAGAAACCAGGCGTATCAGATACACGTGCCTTGAGCTTCCTTCGGCATCTCAGTGCATATGGCTGACACTTCACTCGACAAAGATGCTCAAACAAACATACATAAACCAGGTGTATCTGATACGCCTGGTTTGTGACTTCCCGTGGTGCTCATGATGCTGCGTTGCTTTTCTTTCAGTCCCTCATTACATATACATGACGATCCAACAGCAGATTCAACAAGCTCACATGTTCATGACATCGACATCGATAGAAGAAACCAAACAAATCATGCAAGCAGCTTTGTTTTGCCTCTGGGACACCTCTTGGGCACCTCTTATGGCATCCACACTGGTTCAACTCCTCCATGGAGGTTTTGGGATACGGTGCAACAGATTCAACAAGCTCACAGGTTCGTGAACACATCGGATGCATCGAACAGTGTGGCAAAGTCCAGCCACGCTTCCTTAATTATCGGGGACTTCAATTCTAAGGTTGGCTGTGTCATTGCTGTTTGTGTGTCTTACATGTTCACAACGTTTTACCTCATGAGCATTTGCCTCACTCCGCTTGATGTCCCACCAGTCCGGATGCACCCCTGCTAGCTTTCGTCACCTACCCTCGGCCTCAAGTATTTTTCAGGACTGAACACACCAACCAGAATAGAATTCATGCTTCAGCTGGTGTTCTCAGGATACCTCTCTTCAGATGTCCTGGCCTCATCCAGTGAGTTGTAACCGGGAGCCTCATGGAGCGTCGGCGCCGGCATCGGCATCTGTGTTTTGTTGGTGAACCGATTCATGCACGTGATTGTTGGGTCTCAACATGGACCCCAGTACGTTTGGTGGGACTTGAAGATGAAACCCCTTTAGGTTTCGGGGTACCATCCTTTTCACGAGGAGCTGCATGAGGAGGAGTATGATACAGTAGTTTATTTGCCGTATACAACTCATCCAATGGACGAAGCATCGTTCACAAGTCGGAATACTTTCAATATGATATAAACCTAAATGATGATAGCAAGTCATAGTTACAGACAGCTTCTAGGTATATCTCCTATAGGATCACAGTATTTGATGGGGTCGTGCCTTAAGACCGAGTTGAGTGTTCTGCTTCCACAACACCAGTGACACAGAGCTGCCACTCGTTTCGATCTCACGATGAGAGACCCGACTGGCCTGGGTGAAACGTTCGTTCCGTGGTGACGAGGTGTGAACGTTCTCTTCTCCAGCTCGCTTTCGACGGGCAGAACACCCCAAAGGCTTAAACCAAAGACTTCTCTGGCTTGGAAAGCTGCTGGCAGATTTGACGTGCGTCGATGTGATTCCAATCATCATAGCCATCATAGCAATTCTTTGAGGGGTATTTCTCAGCAGCAACTGACAGGGTTCAATACAAGTTTCACATACAATTACACATACACACGCACATCACTTGGGGTAGTTGAAAAGGGGTCAACGGTCAACACAGTCCCAGACAGGTCGTGTTTGGGTGTTGAATTTGAAAAAGCATGAAAAAGCAACCTCTTTGTTATTGGGGACCAAAACCTATAGACGCCGTTCGAAAATGGCTTGCTGGTGAAAGCAGCGCAGGTCTAGACTCTAGACATATCCACACCATTTCACACCGGCTATTTTTCTGTTAAGACCAGACAGTCACATAAATGTATTTCCACACTCAATTATGGCTATTTAAGGCGATATTTACCAGACATGCTCAAAAATACTCAATATGGCTACTATCATCTACTATCCTATTGAGTGATCAGTTAATTAAGTGCATTGAACTATGTGGTTCTTCTGTTTCACACTGCCCAGGTCTGGCCCTTCGTCGAAGAGACGGCCAGTCGCTGGGCCGTGCGGGTGGCCCAGGTTCAGGTGGCCTTTGTTTCCCTCCAGTTGCCTCCACCTGTACCATGTTGGGGCCCTAATGGTAAGAAGGGGGTATGTGTTTCATGAGCAAAAGCCAGGGGTGTGTGGACGTCTTCTTTGGTACCCTTTCTCCAGCAACTAGGTCTTCGTTGGGCCCGTCAGCGGTAGAATTCCTCTCGTTGGACTCTTCTACTGACTTTGTAAGTACTGACTGATACAATCGGACAAAGATATAGAAGAAAGCCAACGGACAGATTGACCCGTGTTGGCTCTATCCCAAATGTCCGCCCGATGCAAATTTCGCATCCAAGCAACCCTCACTATAACTAACCCTTTCCAGGGTCCAGAAGCACTGCATAGAGGTCCGACTTCCTCTTTCTATGAAGCATCATGTCGCTTCCGAAGCAGCGTCTCTTTGGAAGTCCGGAGCTTCTGGTGAACCATACACAAACCCATGAGCCGACATGGTCATCGGATCAGGATGGGTGGGTCAGCCTAGGGCAGAGGTGTGCTGTGTGCACGACCGAATTGACCTGTTTTTGTCGGATGCAACTGCTTCCAGAACTATGGTCCATCATCGTGAACTTTGTGCCCTTTTTTTTGAAGGCTTTGAAGGTTTAGGGTGCCGAGTGGGGGGGGACCACCCTGGCTTATCCTGGCCTCTTGGTTTTGTTAATCCGCCTGAGCTTCTGATTTTGTTGGCCGCAGATCTCTTGGCTTGGGCAGAAACCTCTCCCAAATGCTCCATGACGTTATATAAATGATGTTAAAAAGAAACTATATACACCACTAAAATCACTCAAGTGTCTACTACATGGAGCATTTGGGTTTGCTACCTCCGTCATGATCCATCCACTCCCAGATGGCTTATATTCCCCCCTAGGGATCCAGTCGTACCTTCTCAGAGGGTACGACTGGACCCTCCTTCCACCTACCTAACAGTGTCTCCAATCAATTTGTGAGAAGGTACGACTGGATCCCTAGGGTTCCGTGTACATCCCCTCTATTTTCAGGCTGCTGACACACCTCGGTAGGAACACACCATCCCAAACTTACCATCCCAAACGCACCCGATGTGGCACGCACGGACGTGGGCCTCCGGAACCTCCAGGAACCCTCGAGTGAAGTGGTTCCAGAATCCGGGCTTCCCCCAATAAGCCGGAACGGAAATTTATGACACCTCCGGAACCCTACGAAGAGGTTGGGTGCAATTGGGATACCTGCTTACCTGAGCTGCCAGGACATGGAACGCATCATCCCAGCACACTTCGATGCGCCCGTCTCCGCGACGGCTGAGGAGCCGACGAACGAGACACGAGAGAGGTGAAGTAGCAAGAGAGGTCAAGTGATCTGAAAAAGGCCTACTACCAGGACCCTCCAAGGGGTGTCCAATGGACTACCCCACACTACCTATAGGCTTCCAGGCAGGGCACCCCTTAGAGGGTCCTACTATTGTACCATATTGTACCTATATGGGCTGGTCTTTTTTGGGGTATATGGGATATGACCCGCCCGAACAACAGACAGCTACTTGTAGGGTCCCACTTCCAGGAGTGCATTGAGGGTCCAGGTAGATGGGTTGTGTGGAGCTATTAGACAATCCAAGAGACTTTAAAGTTTTTTTTCCCCGGAAGTTAAGTTCTACAGTTCCATTTCATACTGTTGAGACTCTATTAGAGCTATAAGTTGGATTGGTTGAGTTGATTGTTTCGACGAAACAAGAAGAAACACAGAGCTGAACACATGCGTTCACCATCAAACACATGCGTTCAGAGAGCTCCACACACCTCCGGTGGTGACACTTCTCGGATTCCCCGCGGTGGCGCGCCGAGCAGGTTCTGCAGCATGGCGGAAGAATAACAAGGGAGCCATGCGAGTTATATATATCCCTAAGGGTCCAAGACCATCCGAATCGGATGGTCGAACGGAGGTGAGTTCGTACTTCCTGAGAATGCTTGGGGCCTTGCAGGACATCCAATTCGGATGGTCCTGGACCCTTAGGGTATATATACCACCCTACAGAGACATTCTGCGAGGTGAACATGGAATTTGTGCTAAGCCTGTTCTCATCTACCACCCCAGTGGTTTTGGGGGGTCTCCCTCATAAAATACACATCCCGTCCAGGGTGCAAACATCCAAAGATGGGACACCCATGGACACCCATTGACCATATTGGCTGTGGGTCATGGCATCCGCACCTCCAAACCAGGCGAACGGTTGACCTCCCAAGGTCGTCTGTTCTTGGCATTTTCCGGTGGTCCACCAAGGTCTTCCAGTTTTGACGTATAGGCGGCATATCCCTTCATCCAAGAAGCATATCGAACCACACTCTTAGTGTATCACGTCCTGAGATTCTTGTCGATGTTCGCTTCCAGCAGTGTAATGTTTGCTTCTGTCTTCCGGAGGCCAATTTTGAGTAGCCGAGCCTGAATTCGCATGATGTGTTGGAGCTTAGTTGCCCTTCCTTTTGCGACCCAATTCTCCAAGCAGCCTGTGCCCAAGACTGCCAAGACTAATACCATATTCTGTCCGATCCAAGCACGTGGTGATAAGGTCAATTGGCATCAAACCGCCGCACGCCCGACGGGCAGGATTGGCGAGCGGCCTTTGCGCGTGCCTTTGGCGAGCCATCTGGCCTGCCCTTTTCGCAGGTTGCTAGTCCGGGGCCCTTTAAACGACGCTGTTTGGGCATATGTTTTTGTGCTGCTATATATTGAGTTCGAACACGCTGGCACAAACTCACAGAGCATGTTTGTTTTAAAGTTCTGAAAACAAACCTTTGAGATCTTGCACTAAGTCTCTAAGTATCTGTATCTATAATGACCAGAAGAAACCAAGTGACTGAATCAGATACTCAATTTGGCGTTCTGATTCTGTTTCGTTGTGTTTGATCGAAAGACTGCACCGAATCCACATCCACAGGTCACCTTCGATCCATTGGATTCGGGAGAAGCTCCGTTTTTTCTTCCGACCACCGAAGCAGGTCAGTCCGAACCAGGTCGCTTCGGATCTGCTTGACCTTTTGGTGTTCCTTTCCCGAATCCGGTCGAGCTTCAGTCGACTTAAGCGATCTTTGGTTTCTGAGTCGACCAAACCGAACGAAGGAACTTGAACGACTGATGGTCCTGGGATCCTCAAGTGAACAAACTGAGGGTCCTGGTTGATATGTAGACCTGGGCCCTCCAGTTTGCACTGGTACCCTGACCCTGAAACTCATTGGGTAGTATATACTCGACTCGTCGACTACCCATTTTGAGGAGTACATATACCTCGAGGGTCGTATACGGACCGGTGCCGATGTGACACCTGACGGCCCTGGGATGGGACACCGGTCCTGCCAACCAGCTCTGTGGGCTTTGCCACGAACTGTTGGACGGAAAGGCCTTTGAAGCGGTCCAATAGGGAGATCTCCCAGCGAACGCGAAGAAGGGAAACCAACCGGACGATCCTTGGGAATCGGAGATCTCCCCGTTTTTTTCCAATGCACACCCATGTAAATTTGACAACCTGAGCACAGGTGTCTAGGTTTCGATCCAGTTTCCGCCAGAAAACGAATCCACGGCGCTTCCAGCGACCTGGTTTGTATTGGAACTATTGTTGGCGCCGGAGCTTCATCCGTTGGTACTTTGTTTTTGGGCTCAAGACCAGTGTCACGGTTTCCCAGAATTGGGAACCATGCAGAAACCATTCATATCATGCAGACACTTGCTTGCACCAAATCGCTCTTTAGTGGTTGGAAGCTTCGAGGCGGAAGCCGCACATCTGGCTCCAAGGGTGACTCCAAGCAGCCCTACAAAGCACACCAGGCGGCACCTACCTCTTCATCCCCTTTGTTCAGCTTGCATAGAGACAACTCACCAACGAGTCCCTGGTGACAGCTTCTTCGATCCTGGAAGTTGTCTATTTTTGGGGCAGATTGGTTGGTTTTGTGCATACCGCATACCCTCATGATCCCTCATGCCTGGGAAGAGACAAAAAAAAAAGGCATCTCTGCAGCTGCGCAGCTAGTCTAATCTTCAGAAAATCCTCTAAGATTATGGATCCTTTTGGTATTAGTTTATCAACTTGGATTGCTTGACAATTGGTAAAGGTCGAGTCATTGATTTGCTGATTTGCACTCAGACGGGTCCTTTCCGCGAAAGGAGACATGTGTTCCCAACGAACGGTGTTCGACCCGTTTCCGGACAGGGGGAGTGCGAAGGAACCGGAACGGCGTGCCCGGTGGATGAGGACGATGGCGGATTTGGGAACTGTTTACAGACGTTTTCGGTATGTTAAAGTACTTTCTGCTGGTGGCGGTGTCACCTTTTTTTCGAACACCTTCTCTACCTCGAGAAACAGGTGTGGGTCTTTTCATGGCCATGGTTTTGGGTCTGTCATGGTCTGTCCTATTACCAGTACTAGTCAGTAAACAACTACTTTTGAACAAGGCCTTTACTAACCACCATCATCCACCATTACTGCCATTACTGGTAATAGGATAGACCCAAGCCATGGTTTTCCTTTGACTTCAAGGCTGACAGCATCGCATGTTCTAGACAGCACGACCAAGATCTCGACTGTTTGTATCTCTGGACGTGCTGTTTCTGCAGGGCACTGAGATTGGGTCTCCTTTGTGCTCGTTGACTTTAGAAGCCGGAGCAAGGACCCCCCGTTTTGTACCCAGTCCTAGACGTCTAGGGGTTCAGAGGATTTAGTTTGGTGTCGGCAAGTGCAGTTCACCAAACCATGGTAGGTTGACATCCCGAACGTAGAGGAATCTGTTCATTTCATACCGGATCCACCTGGCAATCCATCCAGTGGCTTTCACCAGGTTCGCACACTGCAACCGAGGTCGTGGTTCTTGGGTGCACTGCTAGTGTCTTGGAGGATGAGGAACTGAGTCGAATGTCAATGCCAAAACAAGCTCCTGCCTGCCACTCATTGTTTTTGATGTTCTAAGTACTGAAGGAATCAATGGTCACTTAAAAGCCCAAAACACGCTCCCTGCAACCCATTCCACTTGGATGATCAACTGGAAAGCCTCAGACTTGATAGAGAGCATCATGCTTCTTTGGACTGTGGACAGGGTGATTTCGCTCTCCGGATTGCTCAAAGGCACCAACGGTGTTGGGCAGCACCTGCTCTGCAAACCTTTGCGCCCGATGCTGCGGCAATGTTTCTTCTTACAACTGTTCACTTCCAGGCACGAAGCGCGATGGGAAAACGGCTGCTGGCTGCGTTCTGAATGGAAGTGTCGACAAGTGATTCCAGGAGAAATCTGATTCCGGGAGGTCACGGCTGGTAGACAGAGAACATGAAAAACGTTCGAACGTGTTCGAACGTTCGACCATCACTTGGCAGTCCAGTGATGGCGATGAACGTTCGACCTCTAAGGTCGTCTGCCTTGTGGAAGCTTGGGGAACGTTCGAAGACGTTCGAAGACGTTCATGTCTATGTTCCGTTCGAACCTGGTTCTGACCTCTATTTTGCACCACCAACCACCCAAAATATGGTCCAACTTCCTATCAAAACAGAGGTCATTTGAGTCGCATGGGTTCCAGGTTGATGATGTTACTTGGGCCTTTTTACGTTAGCCTTCGCCCATGAGAGCGCTTCTGGACCACGCGGGGGGTGGATGATTGGGGGCTGTGCTACTGCAGGTCCTATATGTGATATTTGATAGGAGACCTGGACCTGTGCTATTGTAGTAGGACCTATATAGGAGACCCCAAAGACCTGGGTGTTCCCAAAAGTTCCCAACAAAAAGATCTTGCAGAGGTCGTTTGATATCATGTCTCATCCTCGTCTCATCATGTCTCATCCTCTTACGGACCAATTTCTCTGGAAAACGCCGTTTTTCAGCTCTACCAAACCTCCCGGCTCTACCGAACATGCTGCGGCGGACCTGCTGCCCTCCCCAGTGGGTTTGGTGGAGAAAGGGGTGAGGTGGATTGTTCCCATCATTTGACCAGTTCCGGGGCGACACCCTTTCCATGGCAATATGATGGAATTTGTGTTTGTTCCATGTGTTTTTCATGTTCTTACGGCTTTGAACAATCTATAAGCTTCTTGATAGCTGCTTGACTGTTCTCACCACAAAACATGGACCATTTTGTGGTGTTCCTGAAGCCTGCTTCGAGCTGCCCGATCGCGGTTCTGCGACGGACTCACTCGATCGACGTGGGCCATCGCGTTCGATGTCTAAAGTTTGGCCCAGTATGGTCGTTACAGGAGTCTCTCTTCAGGCTCAACATGGCTCAACTCCATTTACCCTCTAGCGGTGTTAGAGGGTTCCAACATCACCCCTCACTAAATGGATATGGAGTGGGACCGGATGGTAGTGGATGTTCCAACCAAAATTGACATACAACCCAACGAGTTGAGTACTATCTGTACATTCTATCACATGGACATCAATCTTTGGGTGATCCTTGAATTGGTGCAAGAAACCCATGGACCATTTCACAACATTTCACGACTTATATTGCATGAGTGCCTACCCAGTCAGTAGATAACCTTTACCCAGTCCTTTCCAGGCTTCGAAATGATCGAAAACAGCTGAGGGAGGGAGTTGCAGCTACGGTGACCCCAGCGACCCCAGCTCGGTGACTGTGGTCTTCACCGACCTGTCAGCTAACGGTGCAGGTCTTCAACTCTTTGCGCCTGGCCAATACCAGGGTTTGCAGGCCAGGACAGCGCGGTCGCCGCTGGCCAAGCCGCTTTGAGGTCGGAGTGGTCGGAGCTGATCTCCACCAAGAAAAGGTCAAGTGACCTGATAATCAGACCCGTCCACCTGGGGTACCCAACTGGGATAGTCATGGATAGTTTATGGGATTCTTTAACCTTTGGTAGACCAGATTAATCTAGGGTCCAGGCGCGCAAGAACATGCTCAAAGCTTGCGCTTGGTTTGTGGTCTGAAGAGGTTTCCAAGGACAGCGGTTGCTGCTAAGTGCGAAAAGGTTGAGTGCAGCTGAAAAAGCATGCTTCTTGAGCATTAATTGATATGACACACATGTTCAGGAATAAAGACTAGACACGGTGATGCATGCAAAGCACAGTCCAATCTTTTTAGCGATTCTGGCTTGTGGTTCATTCGTCCTTGCATTTTTCTTTTCCATCACCATCCACCAGACCACGACAGGCCAACTATTTGTCCTTCGCCACGCTGCTCCTGGGGCTGAAGGGCACGACGGCTTACGTAACACACACGGGGAAGATGGAGATCCCCGGGCGAACGGGCTCCTGCTACGTCAGTTGGGATCCCCAACACCCCCCCCAAAAAAAATGCCACTTTGTTCCTGGCAGGATGTCCGAGATAGGTCGAAGGGAAGTCGCTCGCCACCATCTATGCAGAGGCCGCTATCTTTTGGTGGACTGCATGTTTTTTCTCTATGCGTTTCACAGACAGTTTGTTGTTCTTTGGACCAAGAATGGGCAAAACAACATAAAGTCACCACATTCTCAGTGCTTCATACAATCTTCACGAAGGGGGTTGATCACAGGCCTTGTTCCACAAGTGCCATTGGGGATTGCCAGACAGTTTAGGAAGTAGCCTTTTGGGGGAATAGGTACACCCCGAAACCATCCCATGCTTGGGTAAAATGAAACGTTGGTTTTGTCACCCTGCGTCCTCGAGGATCTTTTTTGACCTCTATATTTCCCAAGCGATGGCCTGAAACCTAACAGCAATGGCCTCCAACCTAATAGCAACGGCCTCGCTTCATATTTCCCAATGTTCCCAAGATGTCCAGCCTCTCATAACACAAAAGGCCAGCACTGCAAAAGCCGCCCCTAGGACCTCGTCGCCCAACTTCCTCAGTCGAGCAGAGGAGTTTGAGGCACGACGGTGGGGGGGGTGTTACCTGCAAGTGTTGAATGATGTTGAATGTGTTCAAGGAGCTTCTGGTCAAGTTTACAAGGGGCCCTTTGAAACTATCAATCAAGCGCAGGGAGGTGTAGCACCCTGCCACAAGTGTCTCGAAGGCAGGACACCCGTCTTCATGAATTGGACCACCCAGCAACTGTCACGACTGTTCTCGCACTTGGCCTGCCCAATGAGTTTACACTCCGAGGAAAACGACCATGGAAGTGGAGAAGTTGTCCTTTCCCAGACATTCCATACATGCCATATATGCCTACATGAGGGTGGTTTGGGGGGGTCAATGTAGGCATGTATGGCATCCATGGAGTGTTTGGGTTTGTCCATAAAGGACAGTCATCCAAGGCTCTATGTTTTTATAGCACGTCGATGTGCTCGTCATGGTACCTCACCATGTGCACCATTTCTTCATGGGCCCTCGCCCTTGTTCGGCACCCGGGCACCCTGGTGTCAATGTTTCCCCCGCAGGGCGGAACCGGTCGCATTCCGCACTGTGGAGGCTTCCGGAGGCCATGCTACACCCGATGGACACAGCCGAGCGGAGCCGATGGACCCTTAAGCAGCTGAGGATCCAGTTCTTCAGCATGTGAGAACTGGATTCCCCATGTGTCGCAGTGGATAAAAATGGATAGACCCACAACCAACCATCAAGTTGGCTCATCAAGTATCTCGCTCATATTTGGAAATATGTGGTATGAAAGGCAGGACATGGTTTCTTAGGCTCTCGGCTGTCCCACTGCCACTGGCTTTCCCCAGAAATCCCAAGAAGCCCAAGAACTCCCGAAAGAAACACACCCAAGCACTGAAGAAAGCCAACGGAGCCACGCCATCACCCCCCCCTCCCCTCCAGCCGCACGGAGCCAGGCCTGCACGGGAGGCTCGATTGTCTTCGCAGAGGCGCAGAACATCTGGGAGGATCCCATCAAAGACATGGGGACCAAGGCGAGGGCGGCGAGGAGGCCGTTCTTCTGGGTTTCCAAGTCGAGCCGTTTTTTGTGTGTGCGACGGCGAAGCGATGGCGACGCGTTTTTTGGATGTTTTTGGGCTGGCCGGGCGTTGGGCGTTTGGGCCAATGAATGCCAATGACTGAGGTGTGTTTGTTCATGTTTCATTGGTTTTTTGAAGTGGGGTGCGGTGGGTGGTTCAAACTTGGTTCATGTAGTTTGCGGGGGGCCACACATGCATGGTGACAAATTGGTACGCAGACGCAGCACCATGGTCTCCGAACGAAGACGAACAAAGACACCATCAAGTCGGTACGCTGCCGGGCAAAGTTTTATCATGCCACAGAATGATACACCCCCTAAGGGTCCAGGACCATCCTGAGGATGGTTTTGGAGGTGAAAGTGCTTCCTGAGAATGGTCTTTGGGGCCTTGCAGGACATCCGATTCGGATGGTCCTGGACCCTTAGGGACCATGATACACCAGAAAGGTCATGTACTGTACAAGACACGGACAACAATGCACCAAAACAAGGTCTTGACATGTCTTGACTCTTTCTCCTCCACAAGGTTCCGCCACAGAAACAGGTGAAACCTGGCCCGGCTTACGGTGGTGGGAGATGGCGGATCCAACTACCTCCGCTTCGAAGGTGGTTGGAGTGGGTGCCGGGGGTCTAACCACCTTCGGATATGGGACAGGAGCCCTGGGCCCTATAGGGACAACTCCGAACTCCGAACTCCTTTGGGTCGCGCAAAAAAAAACGGCCGGAGGAAGCGGTTGTGGAAGTTCCGCATGGCTATATGCTGCCCTGCAGATTAGAACCCTAAAACCACTTGCTTGGTAATCGGATGGCGTGGTCGAAACCACTGGGTCAATTCTCAGGTTCCATTCGGGAGGGGTAGTCTATTGTTTTGTGGTCCAAGCTCCCAATCCCCGAGATGGCCGCACCAAGGACCAAAGGGCTGTGCTCTGGACCAGGGGGACCATCAGGGCCGGACCTTGGCCGAAAGTTCCAGGGCCAATTTAATGAGGACTTAGGCCTCCAAACCTCCAACAAAGGTTCTTCACAGCCCAAATATCGCCCATCCCACATCACCCAAAAGGGTCCTGGTCCTAGTTCAAATCTCAGAAAGAAGCTCTCAAACTCTCTGGGCTGGAACAGGAACAGAGAGGCAATGACATCTATCACGCCTACTTCATGAGCTATTCACATTTTCCAGTCGCTCCGCTGCAGAGATGTTGGGATTTCTCAGCGGCTCAGCGGCGAAGAACTCGATGTGAGTCTATGAAGATGATATGAATCGAATTCTCCGCAAACCAACTGGTCTCCCACATGTGGCGTTTGGCTTGCCATCACTGGAAGAGTCTCCTGGCCCTACAGGTCCAGTCTGACCCAGGGTCAGCGTGGTCCTTCAGCTCATTGAGTAGTGCTTTTGTTTGATCAACTCTGATAAGATGAGGTCTTTGACCCCTTGATTTGTTCATTGTTGTGGCTCCTTAAGCAGCTCATTCCTGGCAGGGCAGCACTCTTATGTTATGATATGAAGGTATGGCAGCTAGATGTTCGGTTGGTCTACGGTCGTTAGCCTGACAATGCAGGTAATTGGTGGTGAGCGCCATGTGTGCTATGGTCAGGGATGGTCATCAATCTCTGAACAGTCTTCATAGGACCTCTGTCCAATTCCGACCATTGATCAGTCCGACATGCAGGTGTGTTTTGTTTTGCCATGACAGTCGGTGTTTGTGTCGATGTGAAGCCAAAGGAGCCATGGACTCTTGCCATTGACCATGAACTTCCACACCAGTGCAGTGAGTCATCGAACTGGGCATTGGTTTCACCACCAAATAGGTTTTATCTGAGGGAGAAGGGCCGACATGAGCCACGATCAAAGCAAGCGTGTCATGGCAAAAACAATCACTGCAACAAGGCGTTTGAGCAGGCTCCTGGCTCATTTCCCCGCTTCTCACTATCCGACCGGTGTTCGACATAGGCACCCACCCCAACCGGCTAGCCCACCATCCACCGTAGGATCCAAGGGTCCACAGGAGTTGGAAAGAACGGTGTCCCAGACACGACTGGGACTGGAAAGATGCCGCCCCCCATAGGACCCCCGATCTTCAAGCGCTGTAGTTCAGCAGTCTATATATGGCAGTTTACTAATATGGCAGTCCCAAACAGGTCGTGTTTGGAATGATTCGCGTATCCCCCCCAAATGCACCAGTTCCACCACGAGCGTGGCAATTCGATCGGTGGTGTCTGGATTATGGTGTTTGGACCTGGATTGCATGTGTCAATGACTTTGGGGTGAGTCATTGGGTCCATGTATCTTCATGTACAGTGGATTGAGAGTAGATGGCCCCTAAGAGGTGGTTTATATGAACCCAAAGGTAAAGAACGTCTTGAGGTCTGTGCCATCTACAATGTATCTTCATGTATCCCTTTCGTTGTTAAAAACATCCTCATCCACAAACTGTGCCAGTGACTGTCAGGGAATCAATGCACATGTATAACAGACGTTGTTGAGACTCTGTGGACTCCCCCAAAGAAGCCAAGTAGATGGATAGACCGTTGGATGTGGCAAACATGCCCAGCTGCAGAACAGGTTCCAGGCGACCGCCACTATGTCGTTCAAATGCCCAACAGCTGCATTGATAGTGGATTGAGAGGACCAATGGCACGAGTGACCCCAAGCTTGGTGGTTGATATGGACCCCCATTTCTCTAAGACATCTGGGTGCTGCCATCGATCCTCTAAAACCGCCTGTCGGACAGAGCTGGGAGTCGAACCCACTCATCACTGGAACAGCACGCCATGCGACCCAGTCGGACCCTGAAAGGTCATCGGTGGACTTGCAGATTTGCCCAAGTTCACGGGGTCGTGACGGTCATGGGGTGCTGAGAATTTCTAGGCGTCTTTCTGGGCGGAGCATGAATTCCAGTCCCAGACATCGTGGTTTTTGGATAGAATGGCGCCCTTTCGGTGTTTCACGGCCCTAGATGGGAAACGTAGGTATATGTAGGTATATCTGTCCCAGACACGACCCATGGGACTGCCATAGGACTGCCGCCCCGTTGACCCCTCTGGCACCACCCCTGGCCTGATCGGCAGTCCTATGGCAGTCCCATTAGTCGTGTCTGGGTGTTGCATGTGTTCACGTCTTCGCTCTCTGAGGAAGCCAGTGCGTTGGGGCTCGCGGAGAGCTTAGAGGATCGCCTGGCGGCCTCCAACGCGGAACTCAAGTGGGAGACCACCTTCCCCAAGGCGCCTCCCGGTGGAGAGCAGATGGCGTGTTTCTTGTTGCCCATGGCGTGTTGGGGGTTCACCACTTCCAGTCACGCCGCGTGCTTCGCCGCGTGCTTCACGACTGTCGGGGGTGCCATGGTCTAAGACAAATCGAACTGCCGAGTGATCAGTGACTCTCTTGGGTGTCGACTGTCGACCTTTCCGCTTTGAGAGATAGAGAGACGACCGAGCCCGTAAACCAAACGGCCTTGCATCGATGACGGAGAGAGGACGATGGCGGAGAGAGGGGTGTTTCAAGGTGGAATGAGGCTGATCAGACGATGCAAATTCTTCTCAGTCAGTATATATGTGTTTAGTATATTAAATCATTTTAACCGACCTTTGTAATGGTCCCCAAGTAGATAAGACACATAGTTTGAGTAGGGATCTATACTGTTCTATCTATTTGGGGTCTCTAAATTCCTTTTTGGAGGGATTGGCCTCTCCACTCAACATGAAGATCTTCCGCGGCGTTCCTCGCGGGATGTGGCACTGTCTCTCGCCTAAACTCCGATGGCTCGGCTCAAGGGCTCCATAGGATTCTCATTCCGAATCAGAAGACCTCTACCTGGGATCCTACCTGGGATGATAGGTAGAAGATGGATCCATAGGATCCGATCGTCATGTTTTTGTTGTAAGACCTCTACCTGGGATCCTCCGAAGGCTTTGTGAGGTTGAAGCATTCGAGGACATGCTTTCTGAAAAATTCAAGCGCAGAGTTTGTTCTTCTGCATGTTGTGCTGCGAAGACCCAACCGAACACCCAGAGCTTTTATCACAACATGACCGGGGCAAGTCAAACGATTCGTGTGACTTGAACACCTTTTGACTTCAAGTGGTTCTTGCGTTTCTTCTTGCGTTTGTAGCGGAAGAAAAGCACCTGTGGGGTGGACTCCGTCCGTGATAAAATTGGTGTGTTTTGACTGAGAACTCGCCATGTGTTGCATGACCGGGGTGGCAGCAGCCGATCCTGCAGTTACAGCTACTGTATTCATGAGACTTGACAGTATAAAGCAACTGCAATAAAGATCGATCTCTACCCCAGGACTTCAACTAGTCTAACCACCTTCTGAGGATATGGTTGGAGCCCTAGGGTTAATTCAGTTGAGCAAATCTGCCATGGATGAACAGGTGAGGGCAACACTTGTTTCTTTTTGGTCTAGCTGCCAGGCATTGGGCAGATTTGAGTGGACTACCCACAAAAAACCAGCCAGTATTGCACTGACAGCTTATAGCATAGGCCCACAACCCACCGAATGGATGAACCAGCACGGCACTGAGGATACTAGATATGTGCTTGACGGTATCATGAATGTGCCTTCTCCAGGGGAACCATCACAATTCGGAAACGTGTTTTTCCTTTTGTCCATACATAGCTCACACTTGTATGGTATAGGGCAAAGGTTGAGAATGGAGCCCCCCCAGGCAACATGTGTATCCCACCATTTCCATGGAAGATTGCTACTCATTCCCATACCACTACCAGTACTGCTACATTTGGCATTCAGCAGGGAAAACTTTGTGACATTGAAGAGGAACATTTGACTTTATCATGCTAAACTTGGGTGTGTCCTTTAATAAGGAGACCCCCTAGCCCAATGGGTTTGGGTCTATGTTTCATCTTCCAGGAGGTCGAACTGGGGGGTCTCTCTGAAAGATTTGGACGATTTGGAGGTTGGTCAAAACGAACCTGGTTCACCAGCAGAGAACAGACTACTAGACATGGTCCAAGCTACCAAGGTGAGTTCCGGGCAACCCGGGTGCCATGATCCACAGCCATTTGGAGGTTGGTCACAGAATTTTGATAGTTGACCCCAGTGCTGCAGAGTTCATTCTGCTGTCGGATTTGTGAGGCAAGTTCCATCAAGATAGACCTTCAGAGCAATGTGTTGTTGGTCTCATTGTTGTCCAAAAGTTCAGGACAGTTTGGTAAAAGACCGTCATTGGACGAATGGAATAACCTTGGGCTGTTCCACAGATGTCCAGTTTGTGTTGTTTGCTTTGCACATCTTTGCGCCAGGTTCAGCAAATGGGCAAGTACAGGAGAAGCCTAGACGCTGTCAATGTCGATGTCCATCGGGCCCTTCGTTGGGGTGCTCGGATGACTAACCTTTCGTGACACACGTTCTCCACTTCAATGTGTTGGCGGCTCGTTGGCGCTCACAACTGTATTGTGGCAGATCCTTCGATGTCGTTGCATTTTTGGACGTGCGACCAGGTCGATCTCCAGGTTCATAAACCCTTTATAGTCCATTGCTATAGTCCAGAGAAGCAAAATACAAACAATTTGTAGACTCCTTGGTGAACGATCGCCTTTTCAGGTGAAGAGATGCATGGCAATGTGAGTTCTGCATGGCAATATATTATAACTATTGCAATTCTTCCAATCTTCATCCGCCCTCCCATTGCCCTCGCCCGACTTCCACGAAACACCCAACCGGCGACGTCCGGTCCACCGCTGTCCCGAGCCGCTCCGTTCGGGTCGACGGCGTGTTCGCCCCGACGTTACGTAGCTTCTTGTTACGATTCGGGTCTACGGCCAGGAGCTCCGAACGCTTCAGGCGAAAAGAGGTGCTCAAACGCATCAAACGTCCGGGTGCGAGTTCCAACTCCCTCGCGGTCTTTGCGGACCGTCCACTCCTTGAGCTCCGAGGCTTGAATTCAGTGACCTTGAACAATTCGGGCCGCATGGGTTTTCTAAAGCGACCCAAAAATCCGAAAAAGCAAGTTCTGTCACGAACTCTTCAGGTCCTGGTTTTCCTGAATTTCCTTAGTGAATTCCCTTGATCATGGGGAATATGGCCTCGGCCTTGTAGCCATTCCACACGTGCCGCAGGACTGGCTCCAAATCGCAACTGGAGCGCCTTTGGCACTTAGAGAAGCGGACCAATCCTGGGGGTGGACAGGGGGTGGACCCCAATCCAGGGGGGTGGACCTTAGCTGTTAAGGGGTGTCCATTAATCACCCCGACTGGGGGTCCTGGAGATTAGCATCGCAATGTTCAGATATGAAGTGATCCCTACAGTGATGTGCTGCGAGACTGCTGCTTTCGAAGTTGGTGAAGCTGACTTCTGGAGGACCTGCGTTCAGAACATCCGCGTTGGGTTTTTTCACCTCAAAGACAGAGTTTGTCAGTAGATGTCAGTAGAAATCACATGCAATGTATGCACATGTTTTTCCACCTGATCCCAGGTCAACCACTCCAAGTGGGAATCAGAATCCCATCCGAGTGGTGTTTGTTCACCACCCCTACCCAGACAGATCGGGTTCCCTTATTACAATCCCTTCAGATTGGTATCCTACCTATAGCTTACCCGAGCCAGGGGTGTCCCCAATCCCAATCCCCTACCCAGACAGTAGCTCACCTTTGGGCTTGGGGACACCCCGCTCAACGACACCCCGCTCAACCAACGTTTTCGTGCACTTCGTGCACTCCCCGCGAAAGGCCGCTGGACACTGGGTGAGGTTACAGGAGATTGCAGGAATGATTTGGAGAATGATTTGAAATATATTCCTAGCGCTTCCTGTCTGGGTGTCCTGTTCGGTGACCTATAAGTGTGGGGGTTGTCCAGCCAGGTCACCCCGGATTACAGGCGAAGCAGCTAGTTCATTGGTCCGAATCAACACCATCCCAGGTTCCTGATGTACGACGGGGACTTCTTCGTGCCGGTGATCCGCCTGGATCTGCTGGAGAGAGATGCCTGGATCTGGAGAGACATGCGACAGACGACAGAGTCGGAAGTCCGACCTCCTGTAAGGGGTTGCGGGAATGGAGTGATGTTGATTAAAAGAAGAAAGACCTAAGCGTTTGGACCTTTGGATCCCAATAGATTGGGTTAGACAATTGTTTAACTATATAATGGTCAATAGATGTTAATAGACAAATGTTTTTGTGTTTTTTTTCATTATTTTAAACTTAACTTATTTAGTTGATTTATTGGTTTTAAACTAAGAGTCAAACACGATTTGTAAAATATAGTAGCTACATCTTGGCCGTTTGTTGAGAGATTGTGTTTATTGATGAGACATAATGTGATTTTGTTACTTTCTTTGGTGAAATCGTGGTTTAACTTTGAGAGATGTGCTTCTTACTGGTCAGAGGAAGAGTTGGTGAGGCTCAAAGAAAACATTTGCTTTTGCACAATTAGATTTTCTGATTTGCACATCTTCTTAACTGGTGAACTGCATTCTGGAATAATCAAGAGCAGATTGCAGCTTGCACCCAATCTTTTGCACTTGAGCAGCCCCTAGTAGCTTCTTGTTACTAGTACGTAGCGAAGCCCGGGTTCCTAGTAGCTTCTTGCTCCTAGTAGTAAGGCCGGGAGCTTGCGCAACACCACCACCAAGTTCCCACCCCACACCCGTCGTCCTTTTGGTTTTGTCAAAGCATCGCTTGAGCCATGCAGCTTGCGCAAAGGTTGCATCCAGATCCCAGTGTTGGTGTGCGAGATATCCAAAGATTATTCCTGAAGCTCATGGATTAATCTGGGGGGCATGATCTTACCCAGCTTTTGATGTTTGTTTTTGAGGATTTTGTTTATGGTTGGGAATGGGCATCCTCAACAAGGAGCTTCTTCAACAGAGCTTCTGAGCTGTTTAACTCTATGTTCACTACATTGCATTTTTGCTAACCATAACCATGCCCATGAATTGGACCCTCGACTCACCTGCAATTTTACAAGCGAAGATCAAATGGGCATATTGAAGGCGTTACGCCAGCACTGTGTTGGCGACATGCCCAACACTTTCAGCTTACCAATGACATGTGCAGAATTTTGTTGTGCAGTCTTGAGGGTTCTTGCTTTTTTGGATTCTACTGTTGAGAGGAGAGGCTGGTGCTGACATGCAAATGTTGTTGCGAGGGTTGCTGTTGAGAGGATGGACAAATTCCTGTATTCTTGTTTGCAAAACAACGAAGTTGACCATGCAAAACCACACATGTGTATAGGCAATTTCAATTTAACTTTAAACTGCCTTTTTTAACTTTACACCATTTCAATGTTAACTTCGGGCAACTTCATTTAACCATTGAAATATACTGTTTTCAAAGTCGATTGTTTGTCTTCAAAGTAAAGGCAACAAGATTAACTAGTAGACAGAAATATATCTAAAAACACATCAACTATATCGTGCATTATTATAGGATATTATAGTAAATTTGTCTTTGTCTAACCCAATCTATTGGGATTAGTGTAGAACCATGTAAAACCTCTTCCTGCGAGGTGTGTCATCAGTAACGAGTCTAATTACATGAGGGACAGACCCCCAAACACACGCATGCACGCACAAGAGCGCACCTTTTCACTCAGTGTCGGACTTAAGCACAAAAATGGATGGAGCCCCAAAAGGGGTCTCAATCCAGAAGGAGCGAGTCGTTCCGCACTTGCAGTGGAGTTGCAGTGCAGGAGCTGCAACTTTGGCCAGGGAACTTCCTCCCTGGAGGTTGAGCAAAGATCTGTAGGACCTTGACGGTGAACTACTTGGAGTGGTATCCCGGAATCTCTGGCAGGGCTTCTGACCTTGAGAACAAAACATGTGGTGGCTCAAATACAGTCCTTCCAGATACCACCAAACCGTTTGGGAGTCGACATCCATCTTCATGGACACCACTCACAACGTGTTTTGCTCAAGCAGGTCAGACATCTCCGGTCCCGTCGTGGCCTTCGGGTTGTTCCCGCACCCGGCCGCACCGGCACCGACGCTCATGCCTCCTCGTCCTCCGTCCTCGTTCTCCGCCGTCCTCAGCGCGACAGCGCCGCGCAGCTCACGCCGCTCACGCCCAGGATCAGTTGCCGCTGCCCAACACCTGGCGGGAAGTCTTGGACTTGGCCCACAGAGCCCTGGGCCCATGGCCGTGGGTCCGCGCCGGACGGGTCCAGGGGGGTGGAGAGGCGTAGGGCGTAGATGGATCAGTGGGGAATTCACAGGGGTTCAGGCAGCAATGGCTGCTATTGCTAGACTGTTGTTTTTGTCTCTAAACGAAGCCAATTATAAACGTAGTTTGCGGTTCTTGGAGGTTTGCCAGGACATGAAAACAGGAAGAAGACCAAAAATCATGACTATGAAACTATGACTATGACCTTTACGAGCCTAGCTAGCTTAAGAGGTGCCGGCAGGTTTTGGTTTGCGCAAAAGTGTTGAGGGTTGTGTTTCGATTTGAGATTGAAGCTCTGGGAGAAGTCTGGTTGAAAGAGAAGTGACCACATTTGAATCATGAGGCCTAAAGCCTTTCCCGCACAGTCCAGTTGCCAGAGAAGCCAGCGGTTCCAAAGACAGCGAAGACCCAGGAACCTTGATTCCCTACTCAGCCCTACTCTTTGAGTATTGTGTAGAGCTATTTGGGACATTGAGTTTCTCCCGTTTTTGTCCGGCTTCCAAACTACAACATCCATCGGTGGAGGGCCAAGTGTGAAACAGTTCACATCGTGGCCACAGTCCTGACCCACATGACCCACATTGACAACAGTGATGCTGTGATACACCAAGGTGAGCCTTCCAAAAGGTGATCTCATCTTAAGACAACTGACATGAAATATCAATTCTTATCGATGCTGTTACATTGGAATATCAATTAAGACAACTAACATCATTCTGTTGCCTGCTGGACATGGTCATGTGTTTTCTGGTGTCAACAGCCAATACGTCGCAGGGACCCCACCCGCAATACAAAGAAATCGAACGACCCAATGGCTGAGGATACAATGGCGCCGACCTGAATGAGGACGGGCTCCCCGATTTCGGCATGTGCCACTTCCCGCGCGAAGGTGCCGGCTATTTCGACCCTTTTCAGCAATGAAGTCTTGGAGTTACGATGACGGTCTCCGGACGTATCGGATGTTTCTGTAGTCGACAGTCGAGGTGACAAGGTCCTGGTTTCATTTGGTGTCTATGATTTTCTATGTATTCCAAGAAGCAAGTTTAGTCCCCTTACGTGAGTGGATGTCCTGGGCACCCCTAACCTCCATGGATCGCACCCCTTTGTGACCCCTGGTATATGTTGTTTTTTTTGTTTAAGGTATGACATTAATAACAACCAAATGCCTTCACAAGGCTTTGTTGTACCAGGACCCTCCATCGATGTGGGACGTGCTTTGTCCAACGTCTTCTTCGTCCACGAGTCGGGTTATTTGCAACAGATGTCTATCTACTCTAGACTTGAAAAAGATGATGCGATGATGTACACAGAACACAGTTTATAAATAGTACGACATTATATATATTTCAATGCACTATACTGGACATTGAACAGAGCTTGAAAAAACAAAAACAAAAACTCATGTCATTCTGGGCAGCCCAGTGCCCCTCATGCCCAGTGTCATACGTCTATTGAGTCGAACGGTTCAGAGGTCCAAAGGGAGCTTGAAGAGCTATTTGTACCTGGTCAACTTTCATGTACAAATGACATCCTTTGCATTCTTTGATGGCTTTTCGAGTTGACGTATAACAGAAAGCCTGGAAACAGTTCTGATGTACAGGAGACCTACCCATGCAGTTCTGACAGCAGATCGCCTATAGACGTCCTTCTTGGGGACACCCCACGAAGCAAGCACACGAACGGGCCGGGTGAGCTAAGCGAAGGGGATCTCCGGCCTCCCGCATCGGGAGTTGATATCACTAAAAACCGTGGGCTTTGGGCTTTGGGCTTCTGCCCAGAGGCTCATGGACCCTCAGATGGAGGGGTCTAACATGGTCTAACCAATCCCTAAGGTTTTGAAGGACTGGTCGGGCTGTGAACATAGCATCCATATATAGGATTTAGGGCCCTCTAAGCGATGGTTTTCGGTGGATTTGGAGGGCTGTGTTTTTGGGGAGGTGAACTCCCAAAATCGAAGGTCTAGTCTTGGCATGTCTTGGCCAGTTTGAGAGTAGACGGAGCGCTCCAGACTGCTTGATTGGACTCTTAGAGTCTATGACAGTCTATGATTTAGTCTCACGAGGATTGGTGGTGGCCGGAATTGATGTATGCCATTTGGGCGACCTACGCGCAGGTGGAGGTGCGGCAGAGCGGGGAAGTGGAAGAGGTTTGAGTTGTTTGGTTTAGTTGGGACCATAGGCATGAACGCTGGACGCTGGAAACCTGAGCAGAGACGACAGTTTTTGAGGTCCGTTGCATGTGGGTTGTACCAAACATGGAGCCGCACGACCGGTATAGGAGAGGGTCAGGGGTGTTTGGTGGAAGAAGACCGCCCCATGGCAGAGTCCATGCTGAACACCCAAGGATTTGCAAAGCCCACAGCTCTTTCATGAAAGATCACCTGGTGGGATTTGGACATGTCAATACACGTCTACTCACCTGGACACCAATTGTGTGTCCCTTCCTATGTCTATAGCTGTTCATTCCAATGATATCAACAACCTGACACATGGAATGGACGAACGCCCAGAGACGTGAGTGACCATCTAAACACGAAGTGCGTACATGTTTAGTTTGATCTTGTTTGTCATTCATGAGAGTGGAAGAGTTACACTTCATTCTTGTAAATTGGAACCTTTTTGCCCAAAAGTGTGTATACTAATCATAACCTCAAACCACTATGTTCTACCTGCCAGGTTAGCATAAGTGATTGACAGGGGTGCTAGATACTAACATGGAAGGTGCCCGATTCTGGCTGTCTACAAGAATCACACTAACGTCAAAGGTAAAAGATCATGTCAACCAGCCTGTAGACATGTAGCTACTGTGTCCTTCCCCAACAGTGTTCAACTAACAGGGAACCCGTGGATGGGTTGCTGCTCCTTCAAGTTTTAACTAACATAGCGTACGTATCAGAATACCGATCCTGAAGTTTCACTAACATGGAAGGTCAAAGATTTTTCTTGATGCTCAGCTGCCTGAGCAAAATAGTGGAGAGTAAGTTACATGCAGTACATACATTTACCTCATTTATGACCCATCCATGCAGTCCCATGGAGTGTTTGGGATATTCTTCCCGCCAAGCCATCCGCTGGGACTGATTCAGAGTTGGGTGGCTCCTTTGGGGCAAGTTCTTAGAGTGCGCTTATGGCTCCAGTCGTAGCTCCTCAGGTTCGGTATGAGTGGGCCCTCCTGGCACATTGGGCCCTTGGTAGAGACATTAGTGAGTCATCGGTGTCACCATTAACCTCAGATTCAACTGACGACTGGCAGACCACTGGACCTCTTGGAATGGAGGGTAGCTAGTGTCAGACCCTGCATGAATTCGTTGTGCCAACTGCCTGCAAACCTGGTTTCGAGAATGATCTCCCTTCCACGCTCCAATAGGTGTTTCCTGGTCACAACGATAAGAAACCACCTGTTTGGGTTCAACCACCACCAGTTGGAAGCTCCTGGCTTCATGGTGTTTTTTTCTGTTGAACACCTGTTGTTTACGCCCACCCGTGACGGTGTCAGCCACCATCCTTCTCACCGCTGAAACAGCCAGTCGCGGCAGGACACCAGTCAAGGCTTCCTCTTCGATCCTAAAACCTTGGAGCCGAAGCTGAAGGGTCCAGCCTTCCAGGAGGGGCAGCGCAGCACTCGTTCCGCAGCGCTCAGCAATTTCCACTTCCCGCCTTCCAAGTCACGAGCTGCCGGACAAATCTGGCGCACGAAAGAACAAGGGTATTGCTGGGACTGGCTCGTATTTGTATAGAACTCACGGACGATTAATGGATACATTGTTCGATATTCTTGGGGAGGTGTTTTCTTTTTCGCCTGCACAGGCTGCCATTGATTTCATGAAGGAGATGTGGCAGGTGGGGTGTGCGCGCGAGCGTAGAGAGTCAGGCCTGAAGACCTGAATGCATCAGCTGGGGAGTTGATCATTTGGAACTTGGGATTGGTTGATGTCGTGGGGATGAGGATTGCTTAAGCTTTGGCACCGCAATGCTGATTCACAAAAGCCACTTCCGGGGCCAAAGGCGGCCTTTGAGGGCGCTTTGTATCGAATCCAGTTGGGAAGATCTCGACGCAAGAGGAGTTGACCAAGATTGACCAAAAGGAACTTGCTCCTGTGAACCCCCCACCTAGCAGGTTGGTGAGCTGGTGACAAAAGGAAGTGAAAGTCAGTGACCAATCAGAGTGATGCATGAAATTCCAGGGATCATCCACAAAAAGCACTTCCTGAGCTTCTCTTCAGCTGAATCAATCAATCCTCCACGTCGGTCGCCTGCACCGCGGTGTCCGCCGCCGGCGGTTTCCGCAGCTTGCTGCTCGGACCAGGACGGATCTGAAGGATGCATCAGCGCCGCTGGCCGGAAGATGGAGATGCTGTCGGTGCGCGTCCGGAATTGCCCCTGCTCAATGACTTTCCCTGACACAACCTGTCTGGGACTGCTATATTCGCCGAGAAAAACACTTCCAGGGGTGGTTGATTTGAGGCGGTTTTGTGGCGTTGTCTCTTCTTTTTTTCTCCAGTCCGACGGAGTCCCAGACGGGTCGTGTTTGGGTTTCAGGTGAACATTGGTCAAAGCACAAGGACCGATGCTGATGCTCGAAAGATCACGCAAATTTAGCCCAGCTCATCACGGTACCTTAGATCGATGAGATGATTGAAGTGACCTTTCCACACCAGTGTGGGTTTTTCTTTTGACCCTCACTCACTAATCATACTGCATACTATTCAACATATGAGGTGTTTGGGAGAAGACCTCCAGGCAAGTCTTGATCTTCGCAGCTTAGAACATTCTGGTCCTGGATGTTCTGGATCTTCGCAGGTTAGACCACACGGCCAGAGGGGGCAAGACGGGTTAGACCACACGGCCAGGGGTGCAAGACGTTCATTCATTCTCGGCGCCCTTCGGTTTTTTTCCGCGTATTTCCGCGTAACGAGAGTTCCCAGCGGAGAATAGGCGGGATTGGAATGGCTGAGGATTCCTTCAGCACAGGACGGGATTTTTCGAGGGGAGAGGCGTTCTGGAGAGAGGCGTTCAGCGTCTTGAGTCTTCGGGGTTCCAGGTTCCTGCACGCAGTTCCTGCATGTTCCTGCTATAGACTTAGAGAAACTCGTGGCTGAAAGGCATGGGAACTTGTGCTCTCATCATTGGCAACATATTACGACCCCGACTTGCTCATAGAAGGCCAATGCCTGGCTCAGAAAATGTGCATCCAAAAGACCCAGAGACAGCATTGTTTCACATACATGTTAATAGTATATACATGTATATACATCTAGTCGACTCACATCGTCAAAGAGAGAAGTTCGGCGACCCTGACTTCTCCGCCTGACCGGTCTCCAGAACCGATGGGTCCAGCACCGGTCCGCCGGGTCCAGGACGCTGTGCGATCGGCTTCTCTCCACCCGGTTGCTGGAAAGGTGGGGACGTCACTACTGTGACGACGACACCCTGGGAGGATCGACCGATGTCTTGAGATTTTCTACGAATCCAGAGAGGACCTCTGTTTTGAGAGGAAGTTGGACCATATATTTCAGGTGGTTACGTGGTCCAAAATAGAGGTCACAACCAGGTTCTAGGTATAAATATTAAACAATGATCATCCAGGTTTGGAGTCTGTGAGTGGATGTGGACACCTATCTTCCAAGTTCGGTAGCCCGAGCGACATGTGACTGGATACATCATCAATTCTGATCAATTGTTATAATGATGATCAATTATGATGAGCTTTATTTGTGAGAATCTTTTGGATCGAGCAGCATGCTGCATGTTTAGGATGCAAAAGGATGAACGGATCGTCACGGGATCGTCCAGAACTGGACGGACTGTTGCGGACGATGTATGTGGTCAGCACCAGCAAGGGCAGTGCAGTTACCAGGGCAGGGAAAATGCCCCAAGTAAGGCTGAAGGATGCTGAAGGCGGTGGGACGATGACTTTCAGCGTGCAACCTGAGGAGCTTTAGCTTGAGCTTGCGGAAGGAGCATGAACACATGCACCTGGACCCTCCAATGTGTCTTAGAAAGTGGGAACCTGTGACACCTCAAAAGCAGGTACCTGGAGTCTCAAAGTGCCTCAGAAATTGAGGACATGACTCGACCCTATTAAACTTGAGTACTTCGGAGGGTCCACATACTTGTGTACCTGACATGCGGTGGGCCAAGGATCCCCGCGAGAAGCGACGTTGGAAAAAACCTGTCTAGTTGTTTCGGATGCAGAAGGGGATGAAGCATCCCAGACCGTCCATGGGTTTGGAATGGTCTATACTTACTGTAAACATCTGTAAACCCATTTACCCCATCCAAGGCGTACAGTTTGGAGTCTGGTGATGGTCTGGGCACGGGTAAATCACTTCCAAGTGAACCTGGCTGGGAGTTCCCCTCGGCAGGGATCTTCCTGAATGGTGTTGCGCGGCGAAGCAGCAACGGCACGGTGCTTTGGGAGCCCAAGATGCTAGATGGAAGTCGCTTGATCTTGGGAAGACAAACAGGTTGGAAGCTGTTAGGTTGGAGGCCATCGGTACTAGGTTGGAGGCCATTACCTCTAGCTTGGAGGCCATCGCTATTAGGTTGGAGGCCATCGCTACTAGGTTGGAGGCCATTGCCTCTAGCTTGGAGGCCATCGCTGTTAGGTTATAAGAAGATAGAAGTCGCTTGATCAGAAGAACAGACCCGGTCGAGCTCCAGTCATACCTCAGAAGATGGGACTGGAGTGGGTGCCAGGGTCGGGTCCAGTCATACCGAACCTGAGGAGGTACGACTGGAGCTCTATGGAGAGAGACAGAGAGCATACAGCAAAATACAGAGATCTTCCGAAACACCAGACCAGAGAACGACGAAGAACTGTAGAAGTATTTTTTTCAATTTCGACCTTTCACAGAGGTATCTATACTCTTAGACCTCTTATGAGGTGAGTCAGGGTGTCCCAAAACCACCACGGAGTTGATGGTGAGTTTGTGTGCTTTTGTTTCACATCAAAAACTCACCATCAACTCCGGTCCCAACTGCTCACAGGTCCCAACGGGAATCCGGATGCGGTGCGCTCGTCACACCAGTCCTCGCTCACGGCGAGCGAGCTCTCGTCACAGGACGAGCGTCTGCGTAGTGTTCCGGCACCATAGATAGCCTTTAACGGTTTGCTATAGAGGGGATTGCTATAGAGGGGATTTTCCCAAGTGGACAACCAATATATACCTGGATCTTCCAACTATGCCAAATGTCTGCCTTTGGGCTGCTTCTTATAGGCAGAAGTTTGTCACAGTTGGAAGATCCAGGTTCTTCGCACGCGGCCCCGACCCGTCAGTACCTACGAGCAGCTGAGGCTATGCAGAACCTTATCGATTTAAACCCTTCGGCACCACTCAAGTGGAGAAGGATGGCATCTTAGAGGCCCTCGATCATGACACATGTGGGACGGACGCGAGAGGTGAGCATTAGATCATGGCCGTTTCGATTGATATATATTGTTTCGAGTCGATCTCCGCCCTCGCAAGTGAGTGTTGTATAGTTTTTTAGACATCGGGTAGTTCGACATCTCGGCCACCAGGCCACAAAAGCCTCCGATCGTCCACGCCCTTCGCCCGCCAGGAATGCACACCTGCCATGTGTCCCTTCGCCGAGACCATCCCCCTGCGCGGTCATCATGGAAATGACGCGCCACGGCTGGTGACGTCCTACCTGGTACAGAGGTATTTTAAAGCCCACTGCAGACCCCTCTCACCCTTTCTATGTCGTGGTGCATGAACAAAAAAGGGCTGTGAAACACCTCTCTACTGGCACCCGATCCTGTCGTTCAGGTTCAGGGTAGTGGTTTATTCAATCTCGAGAACGTGATTTGTGGCGACGGTCAACGGCTCGTCCGAGGGGGTTCATCATGTTTGGTGGGCAAAGAATTCATGTGCAATGGCAATGACCGGTTTCTAAAAGCACAGGTTGGACTTTGTAGAAACTGGTTTCGGTATTTTTGGTATAGCACTGTTCAAATGCCGGGCCATGGGGTTTGATGAAGGCAAGTGCAGTTTTGGGATGCGGAACCCATTTGTTGGCCCGCGATCTGATTGTCATGAAACTTGCGAACCAGGTTTGAAGAAGATTATGGGATGATGTTACATGGTGCTTCAACTACTTCCGTTTCGAAGATGGTTGGGTCCGGGTGGGTGCCAGTGGGGTCGAAAACCACCGGTCACCTGAGGAGATGGGACAGGAGCCCGTCTGTGACATGCTGCTTCAGCTGTGACCTCGTCTACTCTCCTCTCCCGCTCTCAGGACCGAGCACGGATCTTGCCGGCCTCGCCCTTGGCTGGAAAGCTGATCAATCGTGCACCTTTCTTTTGGAGCGGAGGCAGGGTGGGCGCATCCGCATCGGCAGCCTCGCAGGGTACGTCTGAAAAAGGTGTGGTCGGGCCCTTTGGTCAAATTCGGAGCGAAGGGAACATGTGGAGACGTCGGGTGGGTGGACCGGCTGGGGTTTCTGTAAGTATATACCTGGAACATCCTGGAACCTGAATGACCTCTGTGACCTCTGTGTGGTCTTCGGAAAAAAGAAAACCAGGTCTTCCGAACCCCGGGGGCCATGTCCTACGTCTCCAGCGAATGAATTCTCCCAGATCTATCCAGTTGGAGATCTGGCCGAAATTCCGGTTCTGGGAGCGATCGATGCCGATCTGACAGATATCGAGTCGTTCTTTGTTCGGTCCATGTCCCGCTCCGTAGATGTGGTGAAGGTGGCCGGCCTACATGTGGTTTGGTGTGGTTTCCTGGGCCGGCCAGATGACAAAAAGCGGCACCACGGAGCGTGAAGGACGGCGGAATTGCACCCCCTCACAGTCGATCTCGTCAGATGGCGCTTGACTGGACTACGACCAGTCCTTCAAACCTCCGCAACCAGAGAGGAGTTGAACTGGTTCCGATGTCAAATGAGATGATTCCATCAGCCAGTGGTTCTTGGCATCCATGTCACTTCTCTTTTAAGTATACTTAGGTTTCCTCGGTGGTTTCTTTGTCTTTCGCGGACCCCCCAGGCCACCAAAACAGCTGCCCGGGAGACCCGGTCTCCGGTGATGTCTGCCTCGCAGGTCTGGGCATTGTGATCCGGAAAAGTGCGCCCAAGGAGCTCAAGGACCGACGGCCCGGCGCCGAGCCGGCACGCTGGCACGTCATGTGTGGAAGCCGGTGAGGGTGGCCGAAGGCAGGTGACGAACAGCAGAACATAAACGATATGCAGAGGTTCACCATGTTTACAATATGGGTGGGTTTAATGATGTATCATCATTTATGAACAGTATTAAAGCAACCTGTGTCCTCTTTACTTGGGAATGTGTCTAGATGGACAAAGTTTAGCCTACAAACTACAAACTATGTTGAAGTCAACACGGGCGTTGGTGTAACAAATAAGCTTTAGACTATCTACATTACATGTTTTGGAGCTCACTTCCTCCTCTTGTGGAAGGTAGTCCTGGGGGTGTTAAGTGTGTGGCTTAGGCCATTGGAGGTTTCGCCTTTTGAGCGTGTTGGAGTCTTTTGTTTTGGGTAGGGTAGAGGCTCGGGGGTGACAAGGGCAGAAAAGGGGCAGATGGTGCTGGGCTAGTTTAGTCTGCAAGTCACTGCAAGTCAGCATGTTTGAAGGTGGTTCAGCTCTATATAGGGCAGGGATGGTCGACATTATGGCGCACCTCGATTGGATATCCAGACAGGATGATCCTGGCATTTTCAACATGTTCCATCCATGTCCATGTCCTTTCGAATTCTCCCAGCCTTGGCCCCCATGGAATCGGTTCGTCACATGCACATGCCGCGACCGTCGGATGAGCCGCAGGACATGCTCTAGGACTGGATGGTCTACACGAACCGCGTTGAGACGTCCGCTAAGGACCCCCCGCGGTCGTCGGTGGACCGTTGTGACGCTCCAGATCATCCGGACGTGGAGAGTTACGCCATGGGGCATGTGGTTCAAGCATGTTCAAGCAAGAGAGCTTTCCAAAGACACGGCGTTCTGTTTCAAGCCGTAGCCCTTACAAGTCCAGCATGCCCGGCTGCTTTTGGCGAAAGCGCGCGCTTAATCGCCCGTGGTGCCGCGGGCGGGGCCGGGCCACGTGCCGGGCCGGAGCGACACCGGTCTGGCTTGAGGACGTGGCCTCCTATGCCAGCTGGTTGGATTCCTGGCGCTTCACGCAGCTGACACCGGACGGCCAATACTTCCTCAACGCTGGTTGGTCCGAGGCAGCAGAAACGCCGTGGAGGGCAGCCGAAACGCCGCAGATGGCTGGTTAGAGGTAGATGCATCGTGATGAGTCAACCAGACGCCCCCAGACATGGAATTGTAAAACCTTTGAAAGGCTTCGGGGTGCAAAGGGAATTACTGTAAGACGTTTCAGCGCTTCTGTCGTGATCACTGGTGGAATCGGATGTCAATGGTGGACACTGTGGATCTGGGGCAGTGCAAAAAGATGGTCGAAGGCATGGCTGAAAACATCAAAGCGCAAAGAGCTTCGAACACCTGAAAGCTTGTCACATGGCTGTGGGACAAGACATGTGACATTTACCCCCATAGACCCGGGACATCCTGGTTGACCAGAAGTTCCAGGGTTTGTGGATGGAGTTTCACGACCCCCAGGATCTGTGTCCCACATAGTTCAAACCCTAAGGGTCCAGGACCATCCGAATCGGATGGTTTTGGAGGTGAGTATGTGTTTCCTGAGAATGGTCGAACTGGGGCCTTTCAGGACATCCGAGCAACGGATGGTCCTGGACCCTTAGGGAAAATGTTGAAGCCTTCCAACCAAGTTGGTGTCAGTCAACTTCCTCACAGATCCTGGAGGGCCCCCCAAACGTCAAACACCCAAAAATGAAGTGACTCTTGGATGATGTACATATGATGTTCAGATGAGCTCAAGTTCCTACTGGGATGAATCTTCAGCAGTGCTTCGCAAGATGCTGCTGCTTCGATCACTCCCTTTTGACTGAGTTTGAAGTAAAGAAACCTCGAAAAGGGGCCTGGAACACTCAGATCTTGGTCCAAAGCGCGCCGATAGGTCCTTTGTAGTCGACGATAGGCTCCTTAGGGTACAGGTGCAGCGTAGGTCTGCAAGTACCGAAGATGAGGGATGCGTCTTGGAGGGTCACGGTAGACAGCATCCCGACAGGCATCGCCATCGCTTATCCGGATTTGAGCTGCTGTTTGGATCACAAGAGCGATGAGACTCGCATTCGCACCTGTTGTTCGATCCTCAACATCCAAAAGCAAGAGCTCCAAACCTCCAATCCTCGCTTAGCCAGCGCTCTTCGAGCGTGCGCTGGCTCGTGCGCCGTGCCGGACTGGTCGGACGTCTCATGATGCAGGTGGCTTATCAAGAGCATCGATCGATCATGCACTGGGCTCTGGGGACGGACTCGAATGGCGCCTTCAATCTTCGACTTCCAGGCGTGGCCCGCTCCCAGGCCTGGGCGCTGAGGGTCCAAAACACTCAGATTCCTCCTTTTTTGGGTAGAAACATGGGACATGACTGACCCTTCAACAGCAGGTACTTCGTAGTTATTCCCCACCTGGAGGGTTGTTAGATTTTATCAGAGCTCTTCTCCTCCTCTTCCCCTCGCTTCTCCTCTAATCTTCTCTTCTCCTCTCCTCGTCGTTTTGACTACTGCACCTCAACCGCCAGCTCCAGATCGCAATGGGCTATATCGCAGTGGACACTGCCGGACCTCAACTGCAAGTGCATGATCGCAGCGGGCACTCCTGGACCTCAACAGCAAGCGCCAGATCGCAGTGGGCACTACCGGACCTCAAGAGCAAGCGCCAGATTGCAGTGGACTACCGGACCTCAACAGCAAGCGCCAGATCGCAGTGGACACTACCAGACCGCAACGGCAAGTGCTAGATCGCAGTGGGCGGTCAGTCTCTTGCAACTGCTGAAACTTGGTCAAGTCTCTTGCAGATACAAGAGCTTGAGCAAGCCTCTTGCAAGTCCTAAAGCCTGAGCAGATTACAGGTGCTGAAGCTTTGGAAAGATATTTGCAAAAGCTAAGGCTTCATGAGTGTGGTAGAGCGTGTTTCCATACGATGATCTCTTCATGTTTGCTTTAGTTGGTCCGAATTCTACCTTTGTTTCCTCCAAGGTTGTTACACTTGCACTTAAAGGCGTCGACGGGATCCTTGATGATTCTGTTGGTCGATGATCTGCCTTGCTGTCTTGTTCGGGCTGAGGCTGTTTACTGTCTTTCCTGTCCTTGTCTGGTGACATTCTCTTGGAATGAGCGAGTCCACCTCACACAGAAGCTGCTTCTGCACAACATCTGTACTATAAGACCATAAGCTTGCCAGTTCTGAGGCCACCAGCACGATCCTGCGAGAGGGTCGCGCAAGCACGCCGGATCCTCCGAAAACCATATCTGAGGCCACCCCACACAGAAGCTGCTTCCCGTACTACATTTGCACTATAGGCTTGCCAGCTCTTTGCGCCACAGATCCTGCGAGAGGGTCGCGCAAGCACGCCGGATCCTGCTGAGGCCACCTCACACAGAAGCTGCTTCCCGTACTACATTTGTAGCTTGCCACGCAGTTCTGAGGCCACGAGCCAGAACTCATGCTCAAAACGGCTCAGAATGCTTGAAAGTCGGAGCTTTCCTGTCTCGGGCGAGACCTTTTACAGGGTACGGAGGTCAAGAAGTATCTCCGATACACAGTGTCTGTAGAGTCAGGAAAAGTGGGTCTGGAAGCTCTAGGAAGTTTGGTTTGGGAATGTGGCAAAGGTCGGTGGATATATGGAGTTGTGAGATGTGAAGTTGTGAGATGTCAAAGATTTGCGTAGTCAGACAGCTGTACATTCTTCAGCCGATGGGAGCTGTGCGTATGGCCTCCTTTGTATAGGATTCATGGAGGAGTTGCCAGCTCTTTCGGATTTTAGAGGTAGCGCTCGGCTAGAGCAGTTTGACTTCCTTTCTGCTGGATCTTCCTCGTCTGATGTTGGAGATGCTCCGAGCTCTCCTGGCCATAGAATGCATGGCAAGCAACGTTTGCCGTCATGTTGGATTTTGAAGTGCAATGTGGCATCGGTTGCCGAAGTTGGCTTCGAGCACAAAGTTACGGCATACATAGAAACGAGCTTTGAAGTAGTTTTGTGTCAATGGGAAGCCGAGTCTTGCACAAACAAGCGGCATGAATTAAAGTGCGGCAGCCAGCTTGAGTGTGTCGTCATCCATGAACAGGACGTGTAGAGAGAATCTCAGCAGGGCCCGCTCTCCAGGTCTTTCTGGTCGGAACGCAGCATAGTGAAGCGACCGATGGAAAAATGGTGATTCACCAGAAAGTGTGCGCTGTTGATGGTAGTGCTGGCTCAAGGGAGAGAACAGCAAAAGTAGATTGGTGTATTTCTTTTTGGAAATGTTGCTGGTGTCTCCTGTTTTTGTCCTTTTGGTCCGATTCGATCCTGTGAGAGGGTCGCCTGAGCACCGGTCAAATGTTCATTTCCCTACACGTTTGGGTACTTGACAGGCCGGATCCTGCAAGAGGGTTCCCAGCATCAGTTCGTCAGATTCGCATTTCGCTTCACGTTTGGGCCCTCCACAAGCCGGATCCTGCGAGAGGGTTCCTGCCAACCAAGAGAATTCGCATTTCGCTACACGTTCGGGCACTCGACAGGCCGAATCCTGTGAGAGGGTTCATCCAGCACCCGTCAAATTCCTATTTCGCCACACATTTGGGTGCTTGACAGGCCAAATTCTGCGAGAGGGGCGCGCCTCCGAGTAAGAGAATTCGCGTTTCGCTACACCTTTGGGCACTCGACAGGCCGAATCCTGCGATTGGATTGCTTCTTGCGTGCTCTCGCTTGGTCCGCCCCGGCTTGAAAGATAATTGAAAGAGCGAGATGTCAAGACAAAACTTGGTTTTGCGAGCGCCAAGCTATCTAAAACTTGGTCAAGTCTCTCGCAAATGCTAAAACTTGGTCAAACCTCTCGCAAGTGCTAAAACTTGCCTGTCTGTCTGTCTGTCTGTCTGTCTGGTTTCTTTTTGCTAATCCTGCCTGTCTGTGTGGCTTCTCTTTGCTAATCCTGCCTGTCTGTGTGGTGGTTTCTTCTTGCCGATCCTGCCTGTCTGTGTGGTTTCTTCTTGCTGCTCCTGCCTTTCTGTGTGGTTTCTTTGGTGGTCTTTTCTTTCTGTGTAGTGGTGGTGGTGTGGGGGGACGTGCAAATGCTCAACCATGGTCAAGTCTCTTGCAAACGCAAGAACTTAGTCAAAGTCTCTTGCAAATGCAAAAGCTCTTACAAGTTACAAGTGCTACTGCTAAAGCTTGATCAAATCTCTTGCAAGTGCTAGACTCTTACAAGTGCCACAGCCTCAGCTAGACAGACCAAGTCCTAAAACTTGATCAAGTCTTTGCAAGTGCTAGACTCCTAGACTCTTACAAGTGCTAAAGCCTCAGCTAGACAGACCAAGTGCCTTTAGGAGGGGCCCTTCGACCAAGTCTCTCGGGAAAAAGTCAGACGGGAAACATGTCAGAACACACGCAAACAAAGATGTCAGGACACAGTCCAGAACGTTTCCCAGCCTTTATGGTAGATGATGTGTCAGAGCACAAACCAGATTTGATGCCAGAACAAGCGTCAGAACATCTTGTCAATCCGCACAAGTCGCCTTTCAGGGTAAAGTTTTTTTTTGTGAGCTACGACCTGCGACTCCAGTTTTTTGTTTCAGGTCCCAGCTGATTGGACCGCTGATTGGCACCCAACATGATTGGACTATCTGCGATCCTATCGCTACACAAAGGGTATTCTGAGCAATCCCTCAAGTGAGGATGGGCATGCCTTCCACCAGGCAGTTAGGTCATTGAATCCTTAAAGTGCAGTGTATATCACACGGAAGGGGGAGAAACCGTTGGCATCCTCTGGCAAAATTTGCCTTACATGATGGGGGCTTTGGGTGACGATTTTTTCATAATTGTTTTGTGCTTATGTTTAAGAAAGTGGGGGGGGAACATCGGGGAACTGTTGAAGGGAATTTTTCCCCATCTCAGAGATTTCCAAACACTACGATTTCTCAGTTTTGTTCAGGGTGTTTTGGCTACCTTGCCCCCTGACACGTAATGTAAATACACAGCCTATAGCCACAAGGTTTCGATAAATTCTTATATTGTTTGGTAACCTCCAACTCACTAGTTGAACCATATAGAAACCAAACCGGTGTTCCAAAAGAAAAAACACACATATCACCCACACATCACACAACTGCAGACCGTGTGGTTTTCGTGCCCACCATGACCAAGGCGCCAAGACGTACACGAAGACTGTGTTGGCCAGCGTGGGGAAGCCTGGGAGACGGAAGCCTGGAGACGCAATGACGCAATGGACTGGATGTGCAAGAAACATCCAAGGTCAACCTAGATTTCTTGATACTTAGATCTTGGAAGAAGGGAACATCATTGATGGATTTGATGAAACATGCAAAGATGGCAATGATCCATATAATTTGGCGCACCAGAGTGTCCGACGGTCCGAGAAATGGCCACTGCTCGGTCCGACTGCTCCGAAAATCCATGTTGGACCCAGACACTCTATAGGTCTGACATGTCCGATGGGGATGGTGGATTTCAGGTGTTTTTCTGGGGCGGTATATATATATATATTCCAATCTCAGGCAGGTCGTGCTATGTGGAAGTACTATGCGGAAGTTGTTCTCAACCCCCAGTTTCCTCCCAATCTCCACTCGTCTACTCCTTTGTTCAGATGTCCGTTCGCCACTCTCAACTTCAAGCCAACCTAGAGGAGCACAAGACCCTAGAGGAGAACAAGACCTCATGTGACCGGAACCAAAACACCACTCGAAATGAGGAGCAGTAAGCTTGTAAGGAGCAGGAGACTGGACGCACCAGGACTGATAGGTCGGACCCGCAGGGTGCTGAGCTTTTCGCTAAGAGGTTCTCTCAACCTGACGGTCGCTGGTGAAGTCCTGCGGTCGCTGCTCGTGGACGTGGACGAAAAGAAGATACGAAGAAGCAATCCTAGGTGGTGTTAGGGATGTTAGAACCAGATTTCCAGATAGTCTTTACTGAACGTACTATGGATGTTAGACAAATACCAGGTCAACCATGCGTTTAATGGTCATTGAAGGCTAGGGTGGTGGTTTAGGATATGTGTTTCTACTTTTACTTCGGATCATTGAACCCACTTAATGTGTGTCAAGTGAATTGACACCCTGGTATAGGCTGTAGGGGATTGTTTCCACCTTGTTGGCTTAAAGGATGCTCACGGCCTGCCAAGAAGGTTTGTTTGTTGGTTCTTGGGGATGCTCCTGTTGACCAGTTGGGATTCTTCAGGTCCGGTCCTCCTGCAAGACGAACACGCGAAGACGAGCAGAATGTTTGAATCGCTCAGATCGAAGGACAGTGGATAGATGTGAATTCTTGAGCATGTAATAAGGATTCCCATCTATCCACTGCCACCTTCTAATCTCTGCGAGGGTGAGAAGATCTGCGAGGTGATATGAGATCTGAGATGTGGAGACTGAAGACCCCTTCTAAACTCTTTGGGTGTCCAAAGTGTTGATCAAAAGCACCCGTCTCTTTCTCCACCGGAAACGACAGAAACGGACCGACCCGTTTCACGGAACCGCTCCAACGAGCTCTCCTCGCGCTCCGCGTGTCGAGGCCATGGAGCTCTACATCTCTGGTGCAGTGCAGAGGGACGAAGTCTTGGAGCGTCCCTTGGGTTTGGCCAGTCTGCGGTTTCGGCGCGCCTGTTCGTTCTCGTACGCGGAAACGCGGAACTCGGTGGAGGACCGGGGAGTCCCTCCGGGGGTGGGTCAGGGTGGGTCGAAGGTAGTGGATTCATCCCAAAAATCCACCATGCAGAACAGTCTTGTTTGACATGTTTTTGGCATCTCCAGGGGGTTCCTGGGGTTTTATATGGTTTTATTCATCAACAGCCTGCATGAATCTACATTGGTTTGGAAACATCTTGGTGAGACCATGCCACTTTGCCACTTCGCATGGCCAGTCAATGATTTTTGGTGTGTCATTTGGAGGCATTCGGAACAATTCGACTTCCCCTTTATATAATTATAGGCCCATCCTGAAACAAACTGCTATCCATCCACATGTTTGAAGGCAATGTTGCCAGAAAGCTGCTGGTGTGATGTTCACTCACGTTAACCATAGCCTGTTTGTGCATAGTGCCATCTGAGTTCCACATAACAAAAACCAATCACATGTCCGGCCCCCCCCAAAAAGAGAAACACGTCTACCGCATCCGCACCGCCATGGCACGACGGAATCCGATCCGCCCACGGCGTCAGGTGTGGAGAACGGCTGGATGGCGGAGACTCAACGACGAGGCCGTCGGCACCGGGGAGCAAACCTTTCAGGTGCCCGATTTCAGGTAATCTAGAGGTGTGTCACACTATAACCAAATAAACCTGAATAAACTTTGACTGGTAAATGTCCTTCAAGAAACCGGGTTCAATGGTTCTTGCAAGCGTCGGTTGCCAACTGGCCACTGTGCTTGCGTGGTCCGGAGCATCCGAGGAGCGAAGGAAAGGTTGTTTTGCCGCATCTCAGGGATCGATTCGGTGCCTTTATAGCGATGTAGGAGATCTAGCTGGCGGAACAAGGAGATGGATGGATGGCACATGGTGCAGGGCAGGGATCGTGATAGAGTGAATATATTCCTTTTGGGCCATCAAACTTCCAACATTCCTATCAAAACAGGCCAGTGTCAGCTGTGTTGTTTTAAAGGTTGGTGCAGAAGTTGGAAGGTGCGGAACAGGGGGGAAGGGATTGGGAGCCTGGCTCGAAAAAGACTGTGCCTACATTGACCCAAATCACACCACCCCTGACCTGATGTACCCAAAGATCGCATAAGGTATTTACTCCCACCACCCACATGCCACGGCTTGAAATCACAAGAAATGGTCCATGTAGCGAAAGACCAACACCAGCTACTGGTCCCCTGGTGTTGGGTGAACCCTCTCATCCCGCCGGCACGAGGGATTCTCGACCAGCTGGCCATCTATCGCGCAGCCTTGGGCCTGACGCCCATGGAGGACAGAGTCCGATGGAGCCCGTGAGCGACTTTGCAACTCCTGGCGCCCCAAAAAGGGTTCCACAACGTGCCACCCATGGAATTGAATAGGGCAGGAATCAGGAAACCAAATAAGAATGAGTTTCATACAGGCATTCCCCACCGGGACCCTCCAAAGTACCTATCAGAAAATGCTTCATCATCCTACCAAAAGCGGGCGCAAAACGACTCCCAGTTGGAGCGCTCCAACCGATTTCCTCGGGTGTTGTGACGATGTTTTCAGAGACCCCCGACTCCCCGGTCTCCGCTTGACAGCGCCGAGACGCGACGGAGCCGGGTCTCGATCCCATGTATTGAAACCGGGCTCCTGTCGTACCTACCTGGTCGCAGGTATATATGGACCCGACCCTGGCACCCACCCCAGTCCCACCTTCGAAGGTACGACTGGAGCTCGACCCGGGTATAGTGCCACTACAGGGGTCCTACTTCAGGTCTCTCATGTGTATCATTTTTTTGGAGGGGGGGGGAGGCCCTATACTTCAGGTCTCCGAGGTCCTATACTTCAGGTCTTCGATCTCAACAGTGCAAGTTTTGACCAGAATGGCACAGTACAATAGCACTCCTCAGAGGTAAAAGATGGTTCAGGGGTGTCCATTAATCACCCTTCAGGGTCCTGGTATTGATACAGCACATCATCATTGCGCATCACAAATTGGGACGTTGCAGTCTACAAACATCTCTGACCAATTAGTGTAGATCAAGCTGTTGAAGGATCAAGGGCTGAACTGAACCAAGTTGACTTCCAGCATTTGGTGCCTCTTAGAGTGCAACGGCACACATCCTTCCGATTTGCGAGCCCTTTTTGAGGCACCAAATCTGCCAGAGATCGACCGACTCTGGTCAGTTTGTGCTCTGAGGATGTTGGGAGAATCTCTCTCTCTCTCTCTCTACAATATGTGTGTGGTTGACGGACCTCCCATATCAATGCGCATTGTACGGTCATGGATGCTGTTTTTGGTGATCAAATATCCATGCATGTGGTTTTCGTGCATACAGTCATAAATATTAAATGTTGTAGTAACATGTTGTAATAATATGCGGATTCTTCTTCAGACCCAAGGCCAATGAACACAGTCTCAAAGGTAACTTGGTCTCTTCATGTTTCTGGGCGCCAGAAAAATCATGGGCCAGGACCCCGAATTGTGCCAGCTCCATCGAGAAGCCATGGATCGTGTGGATCCGGCGGTTTGTCGAAGGCGAGCCCGGCGAGCCCTGAAACCGGGATCGGGTCGAACCGAGTCGGAGGGAAGCTGTTGGACTGGCAGTCACGTACACCCGAAGGAGGTCGGGTGCGTGGGCCCATACCGATACCGAGGTTGGAACAGCCCTAGAAAATCGCCCATTCCATGTATTGGAACAGGGCTCCTGTCGTACCTACCTGGTCGCAGGTATATGGACCCTCTAAACCCACCCCAGTCCCACCTTCTCGGAAGGTACTTGAAGCCCTAGTTATAGTTCAGGTCTCTCAACCTGTCTTGGTATGGTCCTATTCAGGTCCCATCTGGGCCAGCAGACAGCTTGAACAGTTCTTAAAGGCATGCAACCTCCCAGTTTTGGCGGGATTTGTCACGCACATGGGCTGTATAGACCCCCAAATAGATAGAAAAGTAGATCTCCACTAAACATGTGTTGGAACCTTTGTTTGTCTATAATCAGGGATCACTATAGTCACTATACTTTCTTCACACATTTTTGTTGGGGAGGAAGGACCCTCAGACCCTCTCATGTGTTGGATCCTCATCGGGATTGGACGCTTTTACAGACTTCGTATCAGCCCTTGGGCGTCCGAATGAAGGCCTTGCAATCGATATACATCCATAGAATCTCCAGATCCCAGCAGTTTGGATGGTTTTCGCATGGGTGTTCTTCGACCCATCCAGTAAGTGGATGATCCTTTCGAAGCTACCAATAAGCAGCCAACTCCATGCAACTCCTAAAACATGTGTATGATTCTATACCTGGACCCTCCAAGGGGTGTCAAATGGACTACCCCGCACTACCTATAGGCTTCCAAACAGGGCACCTCTTGGAGGGTCCTGGTATGATGTCTACTTTCTTTGGTCTTCAGCTCAGAGGAGGTGGCCCGTTTGTGCTGATTCTTGATCAGAGGCCAGATGCCATGTTTTTGCGTCCGGGTGATTTGGATTGATGATGATTGATGCATCCGAGGAGTTACTCCATGTATGTATGGCATTATATTAAGATTATATATATATAATATATATGGAGACGTATGGATTGTATGGAGATGTATGGCATTTTTACCAATCTTTACTGACAGAACCTCACCAGACAGGGTGGCTGAAAAGGCTTCTTGCTGAAAAGGCATCCCTACGTAGTTACCTACGCTTTTGGTCGGACCGTTGAGAACGGTCGTTGGCCCCGGGTTTTGCAAGTGCTTTGAGACTGAGAAGATGGCAGCTGTCTTCTGTGTGCTGCTGCCCCTGCGCAGCTTGCGGATGATGGAGATCCCAACAATCCTTTTCACTGAACCACTGCCGGCCAATCGCCGAAAATTGACAGCGCCTTGAAATCTTCTTCACGTGGTGAAGAAGCGCCCCGTCTTCCATTGTGTGGCATGCGAACACCTGCTCCGAACTGTCGTCAACTCATTCAAATCCTGCCCAATGGCCAACCGGCCAAGCGCTCGTCGACTCCCACTCACCACTCAGAACGCTTCGCTTGCTTTGTTGGGCGGCACGCCGTTGCCGAGATGGGTGCAGAAAACACGCCGTCGCCGGCCTTTTTGGGAAAACCCTCTGGCCCAAGAGAGGCTTTTGGAGACCTGAACTGCAGACCCCAGTGGATTCCAGTTACCACTATATCAGGAACCAGGGATTCGTTCGGTCTATGGTTTTAGTCGAACTGGAATCACTGGTTACCAGCTATAGTGATAACTGGATGCCCTGGGGTACATATAGGGATGGGCGATACATAGGACTCTTCAACCTCTCTTGGTTTGGCCTGCCCCAGGGTCTTTACAGGGAGGGTCTCAGTGGCCCAGTCAGCGCTGTGGAACCTGGAAAGGTTTCGAGCGAAACCGTTCATCGACGAAAGAACAATTGTGATCCGACCATGGGCATGGTGGGGTGCTTCGTGAATGCACGTGACGTCATGAGGTGTGCTTTGGAAGGAGCAGCAATCGTCTTTATGGAACCTTAGGACCTTCATGGACCTTCAATCTTCCTTTCAAATCCTCTCATTCTACTCTAAAGTAAATCCGCTCATTCTCCTTCAGCACCTGTCATGCTGTTCATTGTTCCTCAGGCCCTTAGGGATCCTTTCACTTTGTTCAGCCCCCTTTCATGTAATGTTTCTTTGAAGTCCGTCCATCTTCTTGTATTGTCATGTATTGTTTTGCCCTTGACACCCGCTTTGTCATGCTCTGCTGTGTCATGGAATTTCAGGTAGCGCACTTACCCACACCCTTTACGAGTCTGGATTGAAAAGAATACCTGCAAAAGTGTTTGTCTTTGATGTGGATGCTCCACCTGACTTTCTTGCTTCTTATGGTTCCCTTCTTGCTCTAAATTCCATCAGTGGATCCAGAAGAAAACACATGTGCAAGTGCAAAGGTAGAAATATGATAGAACTGTCTATTGCTCTAACCTTGTTCCCTGAAGTGACCAACAAAAGGTGTGCAAGATATTTTCCATGGCTCCTTCCTGCTCCGAACCGAACGAGATGGACATCACTGGCCTCAAAACCGCTAACGGGTCGAACTGTTCCTTCTTTACACAACCTCTGAGTGACGCACAGGGCGGGCCACAGGTGCCCATAAGAAGCGCAAGCTTGGGATGGACTTCGTGAGCAGCCGATGGTGTCATCTCTACTGGGTTCTGCAGCCCAGGAGTCTTCTGTTTGGTTCTTGTGCCGCGTGTCAACACGGTCTATCCAGTGCTTCGACATCCCGCACAAGCGAAATCGGTCGACAGCGGTAGGCTCCTACAGCCAGCGGTAGGTCGACAGGTTTTCGCGGTAGGTCGGGGGCGCCGAAAAGCTAGGGACTGACCTGATACTGCGAATCCTTGGGATGTCTTGTGATGGCTTAATAATCCTTGGTAATCCACACCATTTCTTGGTCTAAAAGGCGCTCCACCAAGTGAATGGGTTGTAGAGTAGAATGTGTTTTTGTTTCAACACGTTTCAAAGGCACTTGAGCCCGTGTCGAATGTTTGGTTCCGCAGCCGCGTTCAGCCAACAGGTTCGATCCTGTTACCGAGTTTTACCTGATCGCACTCATCGCACCTGGGTTTGCATGGGATGAGTGTAAGATGAGGAACCAAACAGGTACAGAATACCTGGTGATTATAGATTTCCTTAGAGCTGTTCTACAGGAAATCGATGGGCAAGGTTCGTTTTCCCCGCCGAGTTGGAAATTTGCCTATCAGATTTGGCCTTTGACTGCATGTAGTTCCTGCAAAAAATCCTATGAAGCCTCGGGTGACAACTCATTTCTTGATGCTCTAATCCGAGTGTTCAAGTCACAACCGAATGAACCCACAGACAAAAGCATTTACACCTAGGCGTAAGCTAGGGTTGACTGCCAACATTGAGGAACCTATCTCACAGGGACTGGTTGAGAGTCACATTTGCCCCGCCACAATGCCAAGACTGCTGGTCTCCAAAATTTGGAAGTCTTCCTCCCTATAGCAATGCCTAATAGCCATGGCCTTCATCCTAAGAGCAATGGCCTCCAACCTAACAGCAATGGCCTCCAACCTAATAGCATAATAGCAATGCATCCATCCCATGAGCGATGGCCTCCAAGCAAATAGCAATGGCCTCCATCCTAATGAGTGTTTGGGAAAGGAATCGGTCTCAAATCACGAGGCGCTCGGTAGCCTCCTTGTGGCGGGCACTCTTTGCTCCTGTGCGATCTTCGTTTGGCACACCAACCATGCCAAGAAGAAGCTTCTAAAGGAGCTGAGCTGGGAGGATGTATGGGACATTTAAAGGGTGTAGAACAACAAAAGAGCAATGAAGTGCATACTTTAAGTGCATCAATTTAAGATGTTGTCTTTCAATCATGGTAAACATCGCAACTTGCCAACTTGCCATGGAAACGGATGTTTGCTGGATCCTCAAACCAACCGACGTCCTTCCTTCCTCGTCTTCCCAGGAGAAAGAGGCGAACTTGGACAGCACCGTCACTCGAGGTGCCACCGGAGACGGGTCCGAGCGCCGTCGAACGTCGACCTGCGCGCTCTGTTTGGGGGACGTAGTTGAGGCCCCGGCTGTTCCACCGTATGATGTAGAAACTACATGGTTCTTCTCCTATTTGGCTTTTGTTGAAATGTGAGGATCACCCATGGATCACCTAACTTTGCAGGCAGATTGTTATGGCTTTTAATATCATATTATTGTTTATACTTGGATAGTTGAGCTATGACCAAACCTCGAAAAATGGACCCTTTCTTGGAGATGACAAGCATCCATTATGAGGACCTTTGCTGGACCAGGTTCTGGCCCAAGCTCAGTGGTTTGTCGAAAGACGCGCGCGTTTGAAGACGGTGGCTTCCAGGACTCGTGGAGGTCACCGATGGAGGATGGGCACTGAACTAGGCCTTGAACTGTCCATCCAAAACGGAGGCCTTGAACGAGGCACGAGCTCATGGTAGGGTTTCGCAGATGTAGGCTGCCTGAGTTAACACGACCAACTGCCCGAAAACTGGAAGAAACGAGACGCTGCTGAAAACAGCCACTAAAAGCACTGTTGGTCCAGAAGTCAGTGGTTGGCCATGGCAGTTTCTTCTTTCGAATGCGTCGACTGCCTGGGTCAGTGGACGGTCTTGTTCATCTCCAGATGGTTGATCCGACGGAGAAGGATCTGAGACGACGGGTGTCCCGCGTCGATCGAGCGACGACCCGAACGACCGGCAGCGACCGTTGACCAGGCTTGGCCACGGTGAGTGAGCTTGGCTATCCGATGGCGATCATCTCAGCGCAGGAAACGGTGCAACGGTGGATGGGATGAAGGCTTGGAGGAAACATACATGGAGATGCGATTGGACCTCTGTTCTTTTTGGAAGCTCTCAAGGAGCATGGCCAAAAAACTGCCCCACGCAGTACTGTACTGTGCAAGAAAGTCATTGCTGCAGGTGGTGTGTGCAAGAAAGTCATTGCTGCAGGCTGCAGGTGGTGCTTTGGATTGCTCGACGAACTGAGGGATCCCTTCTGGGTGTACGTAAGATGTCTTCGCAAGATAGGAATGGAGCGTTTAACATGTTTGAACTAGCCTCTTACTAGTGTGGTATTTGGTGAGTACAGCTAGAGTGTCCCATCCTGACACTGGGAGGTTCCTCATTGTTGTTGCCATAGGTTCCTTAAGAATCACTTGTGATGAGTGGTGGCAAGAAATCTAACCACCTGGAGTCTCAGTTCGTACGTCCCAAAAATGGGTCAAAGATGATATGTGTATTTTTCTAGCAGGGTCATGTAACAAAGTCAGGTCCAGGCAGGTGCAAAGTTTGCAGCCATGGAAAGAGCCTGAAGCGGTTTGCTTCAAGTGAGTCTGCCAGCACCTTTGTGACAACAAGGTGCTAGCACCTTGTTGACCTTGAATTGACGTCTTCTGAATGAGTTACCTTTGGTGTGAGTTCCTCTTCGAAGTCCGGTCCTTCTAACCAACAGATGTCGAAACCACCGAGGCCAGCACGAGTTCGCGCGAGTTCGCGCGCGCGATCACTGGGAGCTTCTGTGTTTTTTTGCGCTTTTTGAGGACTTCATGAAGGTCACCATGGAGGAGTTGGCATCCTGTCACGAGGGCCTACGGGATTCTTGGATTAAGAAAGGGAACATTTTGCTGTGAAAACTAGGTTGTAGGGAGCTTGCCGCTTGGGAGCAGAGGATGAACATGATGAAAATAAATGGCCTAATAAGATGGACCCTCAAATGCAGTCGACGCTTCTCTCCTCCAAACCCGGCCTCCCAAAAAGCCTTCGAAACAGGAGTCATAACAGGAGCCCTATTGGGGGGGAACGAAATCCCTCCAAAAACTGTTCCGTTCCCAAAAGAAAGTCACTCATTTTACCCTCAGGCTAGTGGAAAAATATGACTGCCAGGCTGCCAAGTGGGGCAAAATGAGTCAGACTGGATAATTCGTTTGAAAAAGGTCCGCTCCCACCGCCCACCAAACCGATGTTGGACTCGCTTCAGCGAGTGGCCTTTGGGTCTCGGATTTGCGCCGCGCGGTGAAAAAGACGCGCGGATGGCATACCTATGCCATGTCGGAAGCAATCCCTTGCTATTGTGTCGAGTTTGGGTGCCTTGGAGCGTTTAGGAAGGAGAAGAATCAAGACCCAAACGGTTGCTTTTGGTAAAGTAAAGCATTTCAAAGTGTATGTATAATATCATGTGTTGTCTTTAAGACGCGAGTATCATAATCATGATTCAGAATGAGAGGCCAATTATCAGAGTAGATGGTAACGATCATCTCAAGATGCTATGCCTTTTTACTTTGAACAGGCCATTTGTATTGAACCGGCCTCCTTTTCAGTACACAGAAACAGTTGACAGAATCCCCTGGTTGGACATCGGGCCCCTGCAAACAACTTCTTTGGGCCCTCGAAGTTCAATTCCTCGTGGCAAGGAAAACAGTACCATCCATTTTCTAAGTTTCTTTAAGTTTTACGCTATGTCTATGTCCTTTGCCTTATTGTTAGTCTTGTGTTTGTTGTAAGGGGTGTTGAGACCAACTTAAAGATTAACTATTTTGCTGGGAACTTGATGTTCCAGCAGATTCCGCCCGCAGTTCCATTGTTCACCCCACTAGGATTATTAAGGATTGTCATTCATGAAAGACTGGAATTCTCCCAGTTCCAGCGCGTTTTTTCACCACGCTTGGAGGAGAGGGGTGCTAATGACATCCACTCCATGGATGGGTCCAAGAAAATAATTCAAAAACTTGATCTTGCGTTTCAATTCAATCCACCTCGTTGCTATGTACACTCGTTTTTTCACCCGCTGCGCTCGTGCATGCGCGAACATGCTCGCGCATACCTTCGAGGATATCGGCTACCTTCGGGTGCTCGACACCACGGAGGAGCCGTTGATTGACCCGCGGCGTCGAGTTGCGGGTCCTGCATCCAGTAGATGTTGGTCGCCATGTAGGCTGTCTTCCAAGACCATCCCAAAGGGTCACCATGAGCTATGCGACTTAAGATGCTTTGTTTCCAGTATAATAGTTGTTGGGCAAGAGATTGTTGGGCAAGCGACTGCATGCTACTTTCCAAGACGTTTTGTTTGTTACCTTTGCTTCCTTGAGCCGTTTTTCTCAGCGGGACTTCACGTCTGCAGCACTGGAGAACAAGGAGCCGCATCGAAGTCCATGTTTCACCACCAAAACTGCTCACACCCGCAAGGAAGGGCCTGCAGGCAGCCGGGGCGTCCCCGTTGACACCAACGGGGAAGCCCTGAGTGGTTGATATGTGTCAGGATGCCCCACCTCCATGAAACCTTCCGCCGCTCACCCGCGTCTCTTGCCTCTTTGACACATCCAGAGGGTCGCTGACCTGTCGCGAGGAGATCAGCCATTTTCACGACATGGGAAATGTCATTGTGCCTTGGGCGTCGGTCATGGCGCCATCGAGCGAGTCACTGGAACGAGTCATCCCCAGATCATGGATGACAGTGTATCACATGAAAACCCAGTTGATGACCCATGCATGTCACTACAGCAACATGCAGAAAACGATTCCAGTCGCACGGACGGTTTGGGTCACAGAATGAGAGACAAGGTCATTGACTGCCTCCCACCATGAAATATGAAGGTGTTCCTTCGAGGAAAATGCATACTTCATTCATGAGTTCTGGGTGCTGAACAAGGTCGACCTTGTTATGATATACCATGGACGTGCTGCTGGCAGTCTTGGAATTCCGTTCCACCTTCATAGGCTTTGACATAGAGTCACATAGAGTCACTGAACACTCAGTCTGACAAACCTTGAAGAATACATTGGTAAATCTCTCCGTGGCACCTGATTGTTGTGTGAGCACGAAATTATAGTTCCAGCCAGCATGGCGGGAACAAAGAAGAAACAGACAGAAACACACAAAACATGTACAATTGAGATGCTAGATTCTACCAGCTGCTTCCAAGGGGTTACCAATGGACAACCCCACACTGCTTATAGATCACCATTGGACACCCATTGGAAGCGCTAGGAAGATGCGTGTTTGGCCTTTTCGTCAGCTATGTACTATATATACTGAGGTTTTCTTCAGCTACCACTGGCCTTCATGGGAGCGTCTGGGTCCAGACCTGCAGCAGAGGCATGCGATGGATCACTCGTTGACGCTGGCTGGCGCCGGTTGGGGTGGAAAACGGTGCGTGACAATGGCGTTCGAGAGGTTTTTGGAGACCTGAAGGAAGGAAGACACTACTTTTTGGTGATGCATGGTATGGTGATACATCTACGGGCGATATTTGTAGGGCTGTGAGTGAAAAACCTTCTCTTGGTGACTGTGGAGAAGAGGGCAATGGGACGTGCCCTACCCAGGAACCTTTTTCGGAAAGTGCGGGATGCCGCACCGGAAAGATTGGTTAAACGGTTCTTCCGGGGAAACGGCTTTCCAGTGAGTCCAAGACCTCACACGATTTGTGTCGGCAAACCGAGCCTGAACAAGGGGGTGTGCGCCACGATTCCAACATGTTCACATAGTCGCCAGACCCAAACATTCCAGCCGGATAGCATGCCAGTATTTATGACAATGGCTTTGGGGTTGAAATCATTTTGTTGTTTAATACATACATATATATATATATCGATACCTGCATAATTATATGGATTGCACCCCGCAAAACAGTTGGAAACCTTGTAGACCACTTAGATCCACTTAGCATCGTTTTTTGTTTGATGCCCAGCCATTTGCACGAACTCAGGTTTTCCGGGGCAGGCGTGCGGCGTTAGCATATGATCTCCAAGGGGATCCTTAGGAATCTGTCGTGTTTGGGGCACAACATTCTCCGGTCTTTGACTGTTCTGAACATGTGTTGTGCTGACACGGAACTGTACCTGAGATATGCTCCTAGCTCAGCCTACGTAGTCGAAGTTGTGTGGCTTGTTAGGCCAAGAACGAGTGCGTGCAGAAAGCCCACAAAACAGAATTTGTTTGAAAAAGAACCTGCATATCGCAATGTTTGGTTCGCATGAGGAGCTGTTGCTATGTGGTTCGGCACGGTGCAAAGTTTGTATAAGCTTGTGTGACGCAACATGTTCATGTGCGTTACTGCCACTTGCTTACGACACCCAAACCAAATGAGATCAAGCATTTGTTCCACGGGCCAGCCGGCTCAGCCAACATGCCGCTGGAAGGTAAACTATGAATGAACTGAGTGTGTATATATCTCTGCATGTAGATATGTTGGGGAACCTGTCATGAACGACTTTTGATTGAGGCCGGTCATAGAAATCTTTTGGCTAGCTAGCTGTAAGTCAATCTACAAGAGCCATGAGACATGGATCATGCCAAAATGTTTCCAACCAGCCATCCCAGTCAGACACAAGCAGCTTAACCTGTTCCCATATATACCTATTCGGGTTCTGCTTTTCTCGGGTTAAGCCACTGCAACGGCTGTGCTTTGATGTGAGGAAACTCTACTCAGAACAAGTTGGCCATAGCATGGAGTGCATCTGGGTTTGGCTCGCACCTCGGCAGAGCAAAAGCCCGAGTTTTTGTTCCTCACCTGCCAGGTAAGGGTCTTTAGTTTTTAATTAAGAAGGGGTCCTCTGAAAATCCTCCTCGTCCTCCACCGCTTCATCCTCATCCTGATGTCACAGCTCGTGCCAGCTCAGTCTGGTCTCGCACGGACCCGCACACGATGGGAGCTCTCCGGTTTGGTCTGGGCAGGGACCCGATCAGTACAGAGAGCTCGAGCTCGGCCAGAAGAGATGCCAATTAAGTGCCAGGTAGGATGCCAGAAAGGGTGTCAGAAGATTCTGTGCCAGTTAGAATGTCACCACATAGAATGCCAGAACATATGCCAGAAAAGAAGTCACAAGATATTAAGTCCATTAGAGTGCCAGAAGACTGGCTAGAAATGCCAGATAGAGTGCCGAAAAGGAGGCCACAAAAATGCCAGGTACAATTATGCCAGAAAACATGAGAGAGAATGCAAGACAGGGTGTCAGAAGTATGCTCCGAAGAATGCCAGAGGATATGCCAGATAGCTTTCTGGGAAGGATGTCAGAATATATGCCAGATAGAATGCTAGACAAGATTAAAATACTCTTTATAAGTCGGTTTCATGGCCATTTAGAATGCAAAATCACGTGTCAGAAACTTTGCCAGACCATACATCGGCACAATGGGCGGGTTTGAATACGTGGCACAACACATATCAGAACCAAAGACGGACCATATGGGCTGCTACTGCCGTCCTGCGTTGCGCTGTAAGGTCTGCCACACACAACCTACCCCTCAACGTCAGAAGGTTCAAGTAGAGGGCCGCGCCGCCTCGGGGACACCAGACTACTTCACATCACCACCAACACAACTGGCACAGAACTGCGTGCTCAAGGTTTGGGCTTCTGGACGCGCATGCGCCTGCAATAGTGTTTGCATTGATTGCTGGCCCACCAGGGTTTGCCGGGCGAGGCACCTTAAAGCACTTTAACAGCAAGCAAGGATAAGTCTGGCTGTAGGTTTCTGGTTTGAGTTTCAGACCGCTGGCGCAGGTTCCGCAGCTGCTTCCTGAGTTAAAGCGTGCCAACGCCACATCGGATGGTTAAGGTTGCATTGCGCCTCTGCGGCGCGCAGTAGCAAAATCAAGTCTGCCCGAGACAACCCTTTTGCGGCCTGTAGCCAACG